CGGTTTACAAAGTCAAAATATTGTCCCCCAACCATCTGGATCCTCATTTTACCGACCTCGGAAGGATGGAAGGCTGAATCAACCTAGAGCCCCATCAGGATTGAACTGCAGACTATGAACAGTTTACCTTGGTGAGCCTTGGTGGTGCAGCAGACTAAAATGCTGTTAAGTAACACCAGCTGTCTGCAATTACTGCAAGTTCAAATCTCACCAGGCTCAAGGTTGACTCAGCCTTCCATCCTTTCGAGGTAGGTAAAATGAGGACCCGGATTGTGGGGGCAATAAGCTGACTTTGTATAAAAAAGAACACCGCTTGGGGGGGCGCCGAAAGCCCTACTAAGCAGGTATGTACAAAAGTATGAAGGCTATTGCTTAACGCCTTGTAAGCCGCCCTGAGTCTCCGGAGAAGGGCAGCATATAAATCGAACCAATAAATAAATAAATAAATAAATACCTGCAATACTGCATTCTAACCACTGCACCATCAGGGCTGGGTCTATAGGAGGACTTGCCACAGCCAACTCGCCACAGGACAAAAATTACATAATATAGAAGAACTGGTGAAATAGAATCATTAAAGGAAGGATGCAAAAAAAGAGACAAAATGAAATGTGAAGGACAAACATTAAAATAAAATTGTAATCATTTTAAATAATTAAAATTGTTGAATTGTTCTGCAACGAGTTTTCTCGTGGCAAATTGGTCACAGAGAATTGTCCCGTGGCGAGTTGGCCACGGCAAATTGGCAGCAGTGAGTGGGCCACAGCACGTTGCCCATGGTGAATTGTCCCATTCCACCAGGGTTAGTGGGAAACTAACAAGAGGTGAAGGAAACCTTGATTATATATACTGCTTCATCCAGGACACATAAGGCCGTTTCTCAGCTTCAGCAAGCTAGACAAGGAAGAGACTAGGAATACCAGTGCAGGTAATTTAGCAGGAAAAATTGCACTTGTTAAGTCGTGATGATCACAAAGCAGGTGACCCATTAATCAGACCGGTTTTCACTTTTGTGGTGGCCGTTAAATGAATGTGGCTGTCATTAAATGAATGTAATGGTTGTAAAGGGTCGACTTAGGAGTAAGGCCACAGGTGGACGATGAATGGCCCCTCCCAGAGGGAATAAAAGAGGAGCAAAAGGGGAGTGGAGTTTGCAGGAGACAATTAGTTTGCTTAATTGGTTTGTGACTCTCCGAGACTCCTTGCCAAGTTTTGAAGATATCGGCCTGGCAGCCCTCCAAGCCAGATAAGGTCTGTGACTGTAAATTCTCCCTTGAAAGACTTTGATGGATGTGAATGAGAGGAATTCACAGTAACTTAATAAAAAGGGATTTTTGTCGGGACAAGGAGTCTGCTTCATGCTCTTGGGAAGCCTAGGTCAGAACAGAAACTGATGCCAGTACAGTATGTGTGAAGAATTTAGAAGTTATCTTAAACTGGTCAATCAAAACTTTAAGATGGTTTGTATTATTTCTACTCTAACCAAAATACTGTTAACCTAATATGAATTTCATTGCTTTCTGCCTGCACTGTCAGGCCCAAATGTCTCAGAAGGCAGTGGTGGGAGGCCTTCACATCCCAAAGAGCCTTTGCAGGATATCAGTTTGTTTCACTCAAACTCAAGACGCACCTGGGACTATGCAGCGATGTATTATTTGAGTTGTATACAATGATGCTTCTCTTCCTTTGACAATTTCAGCATCCATTAACCATATGTAGACAGTGACTGTTATTTTTATATTGGACTAATTTCCAAGGTGGGACTGCATATACACCAGGGGTGGGTTCCACTTACCTTTACTACTGGTTTACAGGAGCTCGCTTCTGCGCATGCGCAGATCACCCATAATGACGTCGTGGCGGGTGGGTGGAGCCTCCCGCTGGTTTTACTACCGGTTCTATAGAACCGGACCGAACCAGGAGCAACCCGCCACTGATATACACATGGTCCTTGATTTAGACCACAATTGAGCCCAAAATTTCTGTGGTTAAGCGAGACCGTTAAATAAATTTTGATCCATTTTACAATTTTTCTTGCCCCAGTTGTTAAGTGAATCATTACAGTTGTTAAGTTAGTAACACCGTTGTTAAGTGAATCAGGGTTTCCCCATTGACTTTGCTTGTCAAAGCTCACAAAAGGGGATCACATGACCCCGGGACACTGCAACCGTCATAAATATGTGTCCATTCCCAAGCATCTGAATTTTGATTACGTGACCATGGGGATACTGCAACGGTCGTAAGTGTGAAAAATGGTCATAAGTTTCTTTTTTCAGTACTGTTGTAACTTTGAACAGTCACTAAGCAAACTGTTGTAAGTCTAGGACTACCTGTAGATACACACACAGGTGTAAACCAGTGTTTTAAAATGAAGTCAGAAGCATGAAAATGGTACTTTTAAAAATAAGGAAAACAGAATTTAAGTGCTTCTAGCTGCTCTATTATACCCTGCAATCACTTCAAAAGCAGCCCACTTCTCCTGCCACAAATGCTCTGTGACGTGAGGAGGGAGTTGGAACCATTTTACTAGCTAATCTTGAAAATTAGTATAATTTGCCTCCCTGTCCCGTTTCACTGAAATAAAATGATAAAAGTTGGTAATACAGTGAGGCATTAACAAAGTGCTGGTATGTAACAAAAAGGGATATATTCTTGCGCTAACAAGAATAAAATAGAACAAAATCAAAAATATTGAAATAAAGGTAGTCCTCAGCTGACAAGTTCATTTGCATAACATTCTCAGAGACTCTTCCCATCCTGCTTACAATCTTTTTGGACTGTTGCCTTCTGGCAGAAAATACAGAACGATTAAAACTCGGGCCACACATTTTCTGAATAGTTTTTATCCAGAGCTATAATTAAACTCAACAATGAACTAAAGGGCCACCATCGGTGAGCTGTTGGACAGCATTACTTGGTCTGTTGTGTGGATGTTTAGGTGGTTTAGGGGTGGGGAACTGTGGTGGGTGGGAGTGTGTTTGGGGATCGTTATGTGTGTTGGACCTGGTCTTTGGGTGTTAAGTCAATTTCGTTGCATGGGTATACTGTGTATACACGTACAATGACAATAAAGTTATTATTTAGTGACCGTATCCCACTGCCAATGTGATCACCTTTTGCGATCTTCTGACAAGCAAAGTCAATGGGGAAACCAGATTCACTTAACAATCATGGCATTTGTAAAATCTTGTTAAATTTCATTTAATAAATTTGACGCTTAGCAACATAAATGTTGGGCTCAATTGTGGTCATAAGTCGAGGACTACCTGTATTAAGACTCCAAAGGTGTATATGTGTGTGTGTATGCGCAGGCAGGCAAGAACAAGGAATTGTAAGGAAATGCTGCCCAGTTCTAGCAGAATCTTTTGCAAGACTTCCACTGGGTTTCAGAGTCTTGAATAAACGCTCCTCATTTGAAGAAGCCAGCCTCCCATAAGGGCATCAAGGCTGACTCCAGCCAGAGCATATAAAAACTCCCATCAGTGAAAGATCGGAAGATGACCTGGCCCACAGAATCTCCTGTAATTGGACATGACCAAATGATTTAACATGTCAATTTTGGAAGCCTTTTTTTTTTTTTTTAGCTTCCTGACTGCCACATATTATTTAGCCTGGGAAATTGGGAGGGTTTTTTTGTTGTTGTTGGAGTGGTGGAAGAATAGCCATAACAACATTCCTTGGTCTGGGAATCAAGGACATTTGCCTGAGCCTGGATGGGAGTGACTGGGGATTGTTTCCAGTTGAGCCTGAAGGATGGATTGGACCACGTGATGAACTTGTGGGTGTGAAGCAGGGCTGTGAACTTTCAACTGGGTGGGGAAAACCTGGAAGCTTTCAGATTCAGGTTTTCTAAGATGTGCCAACATGATATCTCTTAATAAAGTGGAACTTTGAGGAATCTATTGTCTTGGGAGTTTTATTTCGTTGGGGGTGTTTTTTGGAACCCTGACATAACATCCTCCTCCTCTTCCCACAAGGTTTCAAATCCTGGATCTCACGCTGTGTTGTATCCCAAAGGTGCTTTTTCAAGAGGCAACTGGACTTTCTGGTTTTTCTCTGGAGACATTTTGCTTCTCATCCAAGAAGCTTCTTCAGCTTTGAAGAAGCGTCATGGATGAGAAGCAAAATGTCTCCAGAGAAAAACCAGAAAGTCCAGTTGCCTCTTGAAAAAGCACCTTTGGGACAGCCATGATCTAGATCAGGGGTCTCCAACCTTGGCAACTTTATGACTTGTGGACTTCAATTTCCAGAATTCCTCAGCCAGCAAAGCTGAAGTTGAAGTCCGCAAGTCGTAAAGTTGCCAAGGTTGGAGACCCCTGATCTAGATGACTGAGAATCTCCACAGACACCCGTGTTGCAGTGTTGCTGTTGCTAAAAATATTCATGTCTTTCTCCCGAACGTATTTCAGTCCTCCTGGAAGTCAAAGATGCAGCAAAGGAGAATGAGCAAAAAGAAAAGGCAAAGTGACAGATGTCCCAAAGGTGCTTTTTTGAAAAGGCAACTGGACTCTCTTTGTTTTGCTTGAAGATGTTTTGCTTCTCACCCAAGAAGCTTCTTCAATTCTGATTGTCAAACCTGAGGAAGCTTCTCGGATGAGGAGCAAAACATCTTCAAGCAAAACAAAGACAGTCCAGTTGCCTTTTCAAAAAGCACCTTTGGGACAACCATGACCTGGATGACTGAGAATCTCCACAGAGGTCCTTTTCCTTTGATGTAAAACTGCACCTATTCTCCAAAGCACCTGAAGGCAGGACAAAGAAGCAATGGATGGAAACTTATCAAGGAGAGAAGTAGCCTAGAACTAAAGAGAAATTTCCTGACAGAAGAATGAATCATTTGGACAGTCACTGGAGAATTTTAAAAAAGAGACCGGACAACCATTTGTCTGAAATGATATAGGATTTCCTTGCCTAAGTAGAGGGGTTGGACTAGAAGTCCTCCAAGGTTCCCTTCCAACTCTGCTATTTTGTTACAGCCAACAAAAGAGCATACCGAGTGATTTTTTTTTCAAGTTAAGTATTTTATTATCAAAATTATTACATCTCTTGTGAAAGTTCAAATATTACAGCACAGTGTACAACTCCACTTGAGGGTAGCACTGCAGCCCCCCCGCGCTCCCGACTTCCCGGTGGACTCCTACCCTTTCCCAGCACCCCGAATTGTGTGGTGCTTCATATCTCTGCCTGCCGATCTCCAGACGGATCCTTGCAATGCTGAGAGGATGCTCAACAACATGATGGAAAAAAAAGGAGGCTGCAAAGCCCAGTGAAGCTGACACCCCTTTTTTTTTTATACAGTATATAGGACACCCGGTTTCTGGGTGACAAGTTCCATTCCCCCAACACGCTCACAAGCCAGATACTTTTTTTTTTTTTTAGAGGAAAGGTTTCTTGTTTCTTCTTCTCCACTTTTGATTTTTTTTTTAAAGTCTCCCCTAAATTGAATGAAGAACACCTGATTTCAATGAGTTAAGAGAAACCTGTAACAGCCCTAATTAAAAAATGCAAATGAAAAAACAAAAAAAAAATTATATATTTTTGCTTCTGAGAAAGGAGGGAAGACATGCTCACAGCATCATCTTGTCGAAGAGGGGTTGGAAAAGGTCCGTGGCAGCACTGGGGTTAGACCTGCCTGATTTATTTGCTAACCTACTATGGTTATAACTGAATATAAAATTAGATAAATAAAAACACACGCTTGAGAGAGTAAACAAGTGAGAAAAGCTGGCAACTGTATGGAATCGGGACAACGCAACCAGCGGGGCTGGAAGTGCTGTTGGACCTCAAAGAGGTGGTAGCAGGAGCCTCTCACACACGCACAAAGGACACGCCCGACAAGAGCAGCCATGTCGCACGACCCAGACGGGGCGTTTTCTCTCACCATCATCCACAGACTAAAACAATCAAACTACAGAACAACTTATCAAAGCTGTTCCCTGTGACGAGCCACCATCTTCACCTAGCAGAATGCGGCGATGCTCCATCGCGGAGTACGGCTTGCCCGAGACTCCGGTTCTGAGAGTGTGATCTTTAGCATTGCAGCAACATTTGCTCGCGCATATGGACTCACACTTGAGCGTGCAGACACACACACAAACATACACACATACATACACGCACGCACACACACTACCACCAGCCCTATCCCATGAGTCTCTGCCCAGAGCCTGGAGACAATAAATGCTCTTGCTTACGACTGGAATGATCAGAATGGACTACACCACCCACCCTCCCCAACCCAGAATATTCTGGGAACCCAACTCTGCAGAGAACACTTTGGGATTTTTTTTTTTTTAAAAAAAGGAATAGCCCCGCCCGCCCCCAAATCGCCCTTCCCTAATGTTCTGATTTGCACGGTTTCTTATTCAAGCTTACCTACCTGCCCAGGTGACTACAAGCTAAGGGCACAGGCAGGAGACAGAGGCCATGCCACTCAGCACCATTGGCTTTCTCTACAACGTACCCAGGCATTGTGGCCATGCTTTGCTACAGGCTCTGCCACCACCGCCGCCATTGCTGCCACCGTTGCCACTTCCTCCTCGTTTCGGAGCCAGGGGGTGGCTGGCAGTGCTTTCGCTCGCTTGTACATCCTGAAGCCTCGGCCTCTGGCCCTTTGCCGTTCCAGCATCCTTCCTTTCAAGCTACTGCTGGAAGGAACAGTAGGCAATTCTGTCCTGCCCTATGAAAGGCCTGTCTGAGTCTTTACGCCTGACCCCGGAAGCTGCTGCAGTCTGTACGGGTGAATGCTGCTTCCTCCCCCTCGGTGAGGGTAGTGCTGCGGGTTGGAAAGTGCTGCTGTGGCGGCGGCTCTGGAGCTCTGGTAGAGAGCAGGTTGCCCGGAAGCGGCGGGGTTGATAGTCCGTAAGTCCGACTGAGAGGGCCTAGAGGAAGAAGTGCAGCTGGCAGTTCCCATGCAGGGATGAGACCCTGATTCAGAGGACGGCAAGCAGTCTGCAACTGTTGAATGGGCAGGACTAGGAGCGGCCGTTGTGGGACAGTTCTTCTTCAAGACTCCGTTGCCAGAATGATGCTGGTTGCTATAATAGCCGGAGGTCCCTGCAAACGGAGCCGTTGAGTCCGTGGAGCCCGATGGGGTGGAGGACACGGAGGGTTCCGAAGAGCTGAGGGAGGGAAGGTGCCCGGGTCTCTGGGACTGAGATCGGTAGCTGTATCCAGGGGATGGGACGGGATGTCCTCGGTATGGAGAGGAGCTCTGAAGAAGAGTCTGAGATTCTGTACGTGGACTGTCAGACTGCAAGAGCTGGGAGGGGGGGGAAAGAAACCAAAACAGAATAATATTATATTCGGCTGTAGCTTGACTACCTCCACGCTCCTCTTAAGAAAGTCGTTTGGATCAAGGAACTCCAAACTTTTTGAACCAGAACGTCGGTCTGGAATCCAGCATCATGACCTGGATACTCATACAAAATGGCTGCGATAGGTGGAGATGTCCAGTCACAAAATGATCTTTTTTTTTAATAAAAGTTTTTTATTTTTACTTCTCATAAACATACTTAAATGTATAGTCATTTAATCGTACATATTATCTTTTGACTTTTATATTCATTCTTCATCCTAAAAAATTAGGGTATATTAGAGTATATTCAGGGCTGCTCTTCTACCATTCCCTCTCCCTTATTTTACAACAACCTTTCCTCTCCTTCTTCCTTTCCCTTCCTTCTTCTAGCCCTTTCTACTTTCTTCTTTCCTCCTCGCCTTCTATTTTTTTTAATAAGTTTTTTATTTTTATTTCTCATAAACATACTTAAACACAAAACAATCTTTGACCAGAAAGGAAACGGGTAAAGCTGTTGATGTGTCCGCCAAACTCTGATTTACATTTTAGTTCTCAATATGTTCCAAACAGCCATTTGTTAAGGTAGTCCTCGACTTATGACCACATTTCATTTGTTAAATGAGGTTTCCCCCATTTTACGACTTTTCTTGCCACAGCTGTTAAGTGAATCACTGCAGTTGATTAGTTAGTAACCCGGTTATTAAGTGAATGTGGCTTCCCCATTGTCTTTGCTTTGTCAAAAGGTTGCAAAAGGTGATCCCATGACCTTAGGATACAGCAGCAGTCTTAAGTATGAATTTTGATCACATGATCATGGGCATCTTTCAAAGGTTGTAACTGTGAAAGAACAGTCATAAGTCAGTTTTTTCAATGGTATTGTATTTTTGAATGGTCACTAAATGAACTGTTGTAAGTTGAGGACTACCTGTATTTGTACTTTCTAAAACAAGGGAATTTAAAATGCATTTAAAAGATTAGGAAAGGCTGGGTACCTTGTGGAAAACCTAGGAGATTGATGAATTGCTATAGGTAGAGACTTAACTACCCAAACTTGTTATTGCTTCTCATACCTGGTAGCTGTATCGAGAAGGACTGTAAACAGCTGGGCCCTTAAAGGAAGAACTGGCCGATTCTGATAAGTCTCCTTCTACAGCATCTAGAAAACCAACCAGAGAGATAAAGTGTATGGAATGCATATTCTTTCCTGGATCAGGCAATTAAATTGCAAAAAAGTCACTTCCCTGAGATAGGCATCTGTAGAAAATGAATGAATGAAAGAATGATCGTTCATCACTCATTCATTTATTCATTCATTCATCTTGCATGGCACTGCAATCATTCAGACTCTTGGCAATTCACAACAAGGAAATATATAATAATGCAGTAAAAACATTTGTAGTAAGAAAAATTGCCTAAATTAAACCAAATTGATAAAATATCAAATGGTGTTTTTTAAAAAAATAAAAATAAGGTGAGAAAACGTTCCTGTGAGGAAATGTAACCTCAAGAAACTTAAAGCTTGAGCAATATATTGGAGGCAGAGGTGTACTAGAGAATACTTGGATGTCATGAGAACAGTGAGATTCTTATAGAGGAATGGGAAGATACACGACAACATGCTTGCCCTCCCTTTGGCCTGCTCTGTCATGTCAACAGAAAGAAAGGGAATAACTACTGGAACAGGAAGAGCTCTAGAGCAGTTCACAACAATGAAAACAACCTGCTTTATAAATTCTACCCGGCAACTCATTTTCTGTTTCTCTTCCCATGACCACACTATGGGGTGGAACATGGGGGGGGGGGAAAAGATACACCCTTCATTCAGAATGGTGCCAATGTTGATTGGGTTAGGATTAGGGCTTTTTAAACCATCTTTTATAACTAGGATGTGTAAGATGGCTGCTCCTTATTTAAGTAGGGCATCTGTGACTGCGACCTGCTACTGTATGGGAACAAACTCAAATTCAAACCTTTATTGTCAGTGCGCAACATATGTGCAATGAGATTGGTTAAGCTCCCTCAGTGCACCCCAACACAAAACAACTCACAGTGAAGACAGAAAATCCCTAACCCAATAAATCATATTAACAAAACACCCAGTCCTATTGCACCAGTGTGAACATGTTACACGTTGCGCCAGACCTGCAAGTCCATCGTACTACGTAGTTATGATGTTATTTTGCATTCAGGAGTCTGACAGCCCACGGATAAAAACTGTTCTTCAGCCTGTTTGTGGCTGGCTATACTTCTATGTCTCTTTCCCAATGGTAGGAGGGTAAAGAAGTGCTGACCAGGGTGTGATTCATCCTGAGGATTTTTCTCACTCTTGTAAGGCAGCGAGCCCTAGCGATTCATCTAGTGGTATCAAGTAGCTACTTCCTGCCAGTGGTGAAATGTAGAATTTGTTACTACTGGTTCTGTGGGCGTGGCTTGGGGGGGGGGTAATGTGATCGTAGAAAAAATGCTTTTAAAAGCCTCTGATGATCCCAGCTGAGCCGCGCGATCATCAGAGGCTTTTTTTTTTTTAACTTTTAAAAGCATTTTGGCCAAAGAGGTTGTAGAAAAAATGCTTTTAAAAGTAAAAAAAAAAAAAAGCCTCTGATGATCGCGTGGCTCCGCTGGGCATGGGGGAGGGAGGGATTTTTGCTACCGGTTCTCCGAACCACCCACCGCCATTCGCTATCGGATTGGGCGTTCAGGTCCGAACTAGAAGCATTTCATCCCTGCTTCCTGCCAGCCATGTGGTATCCTTACGATTACTTTATATTTATGATAACAATGGGAAATGGTTTTTCATCAAAACAAAGGATGAGTTTGCAGACTGTATCTTTCAAGAAAGAAAGATTGTGTAGGAAATTCATACCCTAGAGACCACTGTGACAGAAAGCTGTGTGAGTATCCTTAGAAACTAGCCTGCTTCCAGTGACTTTTGATGTGGAAGTGGCTCCACAGAGAACAGTGACTCCACAAGTAGAGTCTCAATGTATTTTCGGCTTTCCAAGAAGATTCATTCTCAGGGTTCCTTTCTGATATATCCTCACTTACCTACTTCTCTCTCTCCTACGCTATCTCGAGAAGGCGAGGGTTCTCCTCGCTGACATATTTTTGCACTGCTACGTAAAACCTTCTCCAAAATGCCACGTCCTTCTCGAAGTCGCTCAACAGAAGTGGGCACCATCCTTTAACACGAGACAGAGAGAGAACATGAAAAAAATGAGTGAATATGGGAATTTCAAGTGTTTGTGCAAATAACCTCTTACTTAGTTTAGATAAACGTAAAAACAGTAATTTTTTAACGCTTGTAAAAACAGTAAATTTCATGTTGTTTACTGAAAACATTCATTTCTAAGGTGGGATCAGATACCTATACATACTTTCACATGCAGATGATGCCAGGTTGTTGGCTGAAGACCCAAATGATTTGCAATTAATATCAGACCTACTGCCAAACGCAATGAGGACTACGGATCTCAAAACCAATGCATTCAAAAAGAATGGATTGAGAGAAGGGGAGCTTGAGAAAGTCGTACTGGATGAAATGGATGAGATTCTCAAAAAATAGAGGCAAAACTTTTAGACAACAAAAGGCAACATATGAAGTACCATATGGGTTTGGTGCAAAAAGAGAATGGTATGCAGAGGTACAATGAATGGTATGGTAAAAAGCAAAACGGATTATGTGCAATCAAGTCGTTTTTGATTCCTAGCAACTATGTAGATATTTCTCCAGGACAATCCATCCCTAGCTTGTAATTTCAAGTATCGCAAAAGTGCATAAATAGCTACTGTAACTGAACCCATACACCATCCTTCTTTTCTTTCCTTCTATCTTTCCCAACCTTTCTGGGAGATTGTGAGCTCTGGTCCCTCTTTAGACATGAAAATTGGCTGGGGTGATTTTGAGATACTCTCAGCCAAACAATCCTCATAGTAGGAAGGAGGAATATTGTGCGTATTTGCCACCTTGAGGTCTTAAAAAAAAAGGCAGGGTAACAATAAATAAACAAACAAACAAATAAATAAACAAATAAATAAATAAATAAATAAACAAACGAACAAACAAACAAACAAACAAACAAACAAACAAATAAATAAATCATGACCTTTCCCAGAGAGCTGGGTCTTTTATATAATGCATCCAAAGTAGAATAATTGAGCCTGGCCATTTGTGCTTCCAATGAGAACTCTTGTGTTGATTTGTTTGATAATAAATTTGTTTTCTTGGCTGTCCATGGGATCCTCAGGGAGTCTTCTCTGACACCGAAGTTCAAAGGTGTCAATACCCTTCCTCCTATCCTGCTTCTTTAAAGTCCAACTTTTGCTTCCATAGTGTTATAGTGGAATACAATAAAGGTAAAGGTAAAGGTTCCCCTCGCACGTATGTGCTAGTCGTTCCCGACTCTAGGGGGCAGCACTCATCTCCATTTCAAAGCCGAAGAGTCAGTGCTGTCCGAAGACGTCTCGTGGTCATGTGGCCGGCATGACTAAATGCCAAAGACGCACGGAACGCTGTTACCTTCCCATCAAACGTGGTCCCTATTTTTGCTACTTGCATTTTGATGTGCTTTCAAACTGCTAGATTGGCAGAAGCTGGGACAAGTAACAGGAGCTCACCCTGTTATGCGGCACTAGGGATTCGAACCGCTGAACTGCCGACCTTCTGATCGACAAGCTCAGCCTCTTAGTCACTGAGCAGTGTTCTTGTGCAATTCTGATCTTTGCAGAAAGAGAAGCAATGTGGCCTTTGAATATCTTTTCCAAGATCTTCATTGCAAATGTTACTCTGTGGCATACTTCCTTTACTGCTTGTTCCTTTACTGTTGATGATTGAGCCTAAAAGGCAGAAGGCACTCATAACTTGGATTGGATCTTCATTGTTAGTTTTAAGGCTGATTATTCTACCTCCTGTTATTAGTCATTTAGTCTTTTTATATTTCATTTTATTCCTGTTTTTTCTTCCCCACTGTGCTCTTTGACTATGAGTATTAGGGCTCACAGATTTTCTATATTTTTGGCTATCAGGGTAGTGCAATCAGCCTAGTACAGTTTCTTCCTCCAATTTTAAACTCACACTCATCTTCTCAAAAGCTAAACATAGGAAGTCTTCACTTACCAATGCGGTCATTTAGCAACTGTTCAGTTACAACAGTGCAGAAAAAGGAGATTTATGACCAGTTGTTAAAGTTGCAACAATTGCAGCATCTCTGTGTTCACGTAACTGTGACTTGGCAACCTGTACACATTTACAACAATCACAGCATCCTGGGACTACATGATTGCCATTTGTGACCTCCACAGCTGGATTTTCAACAGGGAAAATCAATGCAGAATCTGGCATAAAGTTGCAAGTCCTGGTCATGTGACACTGCTTTATGACCTGTGATGATTCACTTAATGGCTGCGGCTGGAACTGACATAAATCGGTCACATGACTTTTCACTATATGTGTCAACCCTGAAGCTGGCTAGACAGTGGCCATCTTTCTATTCTACTGAGGGTTTTCTTTTCTTCAAAGCTGACGTGCTGACACAGACTGGAGATGAGGGATAGGGAAGGGGGTATAGAGATAGCTGGGGTGCTGTAACCAAAACAACATTCTTTCCCCTGGGAACCAAGCTCATGTGTGCAGGTGGTTGGGAGGTGGAGACTGGGGCCATCCAATGTCTGGACTGTATGCTGATTGGACCATGTGACTGATGCCTCGGGGGAAGTGACAAACTTTTAGTTATAATTAAAGGGAAAACCAGTGGGGACTTTAGAGCCGGTTTTCACCAGCATTGTGCCAATATGACACACCCTAATAAAATGTTCTTTGAGGAAACCTCAGGCCTCGGAGTTCTTTCGTTCAGGGGTGTGCTAGCTGGAACCCTGACAATATGACTGTGTCACTTGGCTGTGGAATTACTAATCCCAATTGCAATCAGTAAGTAAGGACTATTCTGTATAGCTGTATTTTTCTTCCTTTCTTTTATCTCATGGACCAGGGTCTTCAATTCCTTATTTAATTGCTCCCTTTCAACACTTTGCACAATGTTGCTTAACCCGATGGGTATGTGGGTACCTCGTAACTACTTATCAGAACCAAGCTCTGAGCAACGTTTGCCCTCAGTGATGCCGTTCACAAGGGGGAAGATATTCTGCCTAGCCCTTTCACTGCTACTTGAGGTTTTCTGGTTTAGATAGGTTGTAAAGGCTGGTTCCCAGACACAGAATTCTACATCTCCCCACCCGCTCAATTTGTGCTCAATAGGTCACTCTGGTTCCATAAGGTAACTCCTCTTGTGAGGGGAAGAGGAACAGGAAGGCTGGTTCTTGCCAGGAACCCCATTAGTCGCATCCCTGCTGTAGAATTTCCACAGAGTGACGCATTAGTTACTGGAAAGCCAATCTGGCCTTGTGCTGCCTGTAAGAAACGCTTAGCATTGAGGGATTCTTCCTCAGACTACAATAATATAATATTAGCAGTCCAAGAGATAATTACTTGGTCAATAATGTCAGCTACAATGGGCAAGATTATCCTGCTGCATTGCACTGAGGGATTTCTAGATGGAGGATGTGAATTGCATAGGTTTTCTTCTAAAGACTAGGTAATAACAAGCAGTCGCTTACCACCTACTGCTGATGCTCTCGTGCGATTTGCAGTGACTAGTTGCTCTTGGCTCTGGGGGGCTCACTTCCTCTAGATGAGACAGGGAGGAGTGTGAGGGGGAGAAGCCATGTTGTGGAGACGATAGGGTGTGACTCCCGGAGCTTGGCACAGCACCAACGTCCACTTCTGGCCCAGAGCTGCTGCTACTTAGTCGGTTAGATGTCATTGTGCATCTGGCAGGATCCCCTCCCTCCTTGGCCTCTTGCTTTCGTTTGCGGTATTCCAGCAGAGACACCTATGAGGGAAACACAATTAACAGTCTAGCTGGTGCTGGGTTTCGGTAAGTTAAGGATAAATCAGGATATGGTGACTGTTTTCCACTGCAAATCACTACAAATGCCATAGAATTAGACTTGGAATTAGTTTAGCAACTGATTTTTGCTCAAATTTCAGATTAGGCTTGCTTAAAAAAAAACCCATTTCCTAAGATGACAGGAAGCCCACGAGCAAAAGCACAGCAGAAAATGAACAACATGCATTCTACAAACATCTCTCCTGAAGTTAGTGATTTATATATATTATTATTCATAAATTTCTCAGCTACCATTTTTATCAGAATGTTATGTGCTCATTCTTCTTTCAGGATTTCCATGGTGTATTTTTACAACCCCCCAATTCACCCTTTAATGCTCCTTCCCGTGCTCTCTTCCTTCAGGAATGAACATTTCTGCTTCCCCCCCACCCCCCACTCACCTTTTTTCTCTGTGGAGGGTTCTGGGGGGCAGGTTTGACTCCTTCACAATGGACCACTGAGCCATGTACTGCTTCTTTAAGCATCACCTGCTCATGTCTGCCAAAGTATCCCTCTGCAGGAGAACTGCAGCTGCCCATATCTGGATTCAGAAGCTTCCCATCGGCCATCTGGGGGGACTCTCTTAATAATCCATCGGCCCGGGGCATCGCGTTCAAAGGGGAAAAGGCATACATTAAATTAAACTCTGTCCGAAAAGCTTGGTCAGAGTTTCTGAGCAGAGTCTGGGTCTCCATGCTCTTTCCCAGGAAGCTGGTATCTGAGGGCTGGGATGCTAGATCAGAATGCCCCGTGGCGAGTAACGAAGGTCTCTCTAGGCAGTTGTTAGCACCAGCGTCCAGGAATCCTGCCTTTGGCATATCCAGGTCTGTCCTGAGGCAGAGCTACAATAGCCAGCAAGAGGGCATGGGAGGGCAGGGAAGAAAAGGAGATTGAATAGGGTGGAGAACCAGGGAGAAAGGGGCACAAAGAGAGAGAAAAAGAAAGAGGTTGTTATGAAATATTTCCCCTATTGGCAAAAACAGCATATACCACTTTCCCACTGCTTGCTCCCTAACCCGCTGCAATCTTTCTGCTCTGTTTTGCTTTTTACCTGTTCTTCTACCTGAACAGTCCTTTTTTTTTTTTTTTTTGTTCTTCCAGGCAGCAGATTCTGCACAATCTCAGGGTCCCTCCCCCATCTGGGATGGAAATGTCAATTCCCCCCCCCCCCAAAATGCCTTGGTGTTTTTGCAAGGTCACCCATTTCACATATAACATCACAACCATTTCAATAAAAGGGGAAGAATCAAACACAAATTTCAAGGCAAGCAACTGTGCCACGCACCGGATGTTCTGATCAACCAGCTACTTTACAGTACGACTATTACAACCGTGCAGCATAAGCACACCACATTTTTCTCACACCACATCATTCAGGAATCTCCTCAACACAGAGACTGACAAGAGTAGATGGTAAAGTACAAGATGATGGAACCACTAGACGATGGAATCCTGGGTGGCTCCCTACATAAAGTATGTTATCTTGTCACAATGACAAGATTCCTTTACAGGAATCTTCCCCTAATATCTGTACAACTGTTTTAAAACCAAGCAAGAGGATAAGCTTGATGTGATGTGTTCTAATCAAAAGAGATGATTCTTTTGCATCCTGTACTTCTTCCCCCTTTCCCCTTGCTTCCAAGCCCCATCTTGATCTAAGCTATTATAAAAAGTTACCTCAGAAGAATGAAGATATGTGGGCCTCTAGTTTTTCTAGAGCAGAATTTCTCAACCTTGGCAATTTAGAAGATTTGTGGACTTCAACTCCCAGAATTCCTCAGCCAACATGGCCAGCTAGGGAACTTGGGAAGTTGGAAGTCCACACAGCTTAAAGTGGCCAAGATTGAGAAACACTGTTCTAGAGAGACTGTTCGTTTTACTATTTATTTTTTTTTAAAAAAAATCTTTGAATTAATCGCTCCAATCTAAAGCCATGCAGAGATAATGGGAGTACATTATCATTATCTTTAACCCATTTAGTCTCAAGAACAGCAGGCAGCGGAAAGCTGCCGTGGCCTGCTGGCCAGTGTGCTGCCTATCATCTGCATACTACTACATCTCTTCTAGAGGTGTATGCCATTTATCAGAATCTGCCGATAAGCCTTTTTTTCCCCCCTGCCGTTTTGCTAAGTTTTCATAGAGCACTTTCATCCCAACGCTTTGTTTGCAGGCTGCCAAACTTCAAATGCTGGCCTTCCCTCAGCTAAAAGTGCCTCCCTTGTGGGAGGCTAAGGTTCTTTATGCAACTTGGCCTGCTTGCATTTATACTGGGATACATCACAGTTGAAGAAGTGGGAAAATGAGAATTGCTCAGAAGTGGCATTTTTCTAAGCATGGCTCAACAGGCTTCTGTTAGCTATGGGTAGCCATCTTGGTTTCTGTTAACAGGCTTCTGTTAGTTATGGGTAGCCATCTTGGTTTGAAATAAACGTAGACAAACACAAAGACCACATAAGGTATCTGGGTAGATTACAAAAACGAGAACACCATACAAAAACAACAACAACAACAACAAATTGGCAATGTTTAGAATACAGGCACAGCGAAATGCAATCTTAAACAGCTTATTCTTTAAGCAGAAATATTAAGGCTAACCCCTCTTAAGAGGCTTTCCTAGTCTGCTCAGGCATCTTAGTGGTAGGAACTTAGCTGGTGGCCACCAGGTTGCAGAAGGCAGCCTTGAAAGCTTAATAAACACTGTCTTAAGCCACCTGACAATAGAAAGATCCTTTTGATCTTTATATTGCATTACTTAAGCATTTATTTTATGACTGAAACTGACATAGTTTAATACTAGACAGTGAAGTGGAGCTTAATCATGCAGGTTGATAGGAACCTACAGTAAAACACACCCTTGGCATCTGCAATAGCAAATCAAACCAATTATCCCTCTAAATTCTATTATGTTTTTATCTCAGATCCCTCAAAATCTAATGAAGACTTCCTTTGTGTTCACTAACTGGCATTATTAGCCTGAATTCAGAATTTGTATCTCAAAAGAATTTGGACCTGGGGGTAGAGCAGAGGCAGAATAATCTTATGTTGTAATGAAACAAGGAGAATAAGGGGTTTATTTGAGCTTATGCTGTTTCAGTTCATTTTTTCTGTCTCTGCTTCAGATGGATGGACTAGAATGTATATCATGTTCCCCTGTTTTCTACCCAACCAGAACTACAAAGGAAGCTGACTACTCTCTTCCTCCCCATCGATTTCCTTCTCCTGCAACTTCCTCCCGCCCCCCACACCCCTCCTCCCTCCGAGACACACACATTTGCTCAACACACAAACCAAGCGCACACACTCTCCGCCTCCAATTGAGATGGTGTGATAACTACCTCGGGCGACAGGGACTCGGGCCTATGCGCAGGGGTACTCTCAGGGGAGGATACGTTCTAGGAGGGAAAAGCATCTTGTTATTCATCTAATTTTACAAGTCAAGAGGCAAAATAAAATAAAGTAAAAAAACAAAAAAAAAAAAATAATAAAACAACAACCTCCAAGCATAGAGGTTAGCCACAACTATTCTGGAGCAAAAAAAAAAAAAAAAGAAAAGAAAAGAAAAGAAAGAAAAAAGAAAAGAAAAGAAAAGAAAAATAAACTCTCCTGGGCAAGTCCTCAGCAGTTGTAGGGGAAGACTACAAAACATTACACAGACTTTAGGACAAGAGTTATCATATCTCATGACAGGCCCAAGTCAAAGGACCACATAGAAATCAGGATATTGTCTTTTTTTTTTTTTTTTTAATTAATCTTATGTCTAGACCAGAAAATCAGCCTGAACTAGCATAGGGCATTCTTGAGTGACAAAGCCCCTACTAATACACAGCCGAGTCAGAACTGACTCCATATAAGCCTTGCTGTCAGGGAGGGCTGAGGGGAGGGACTGAGTGTAGGAGTTTATACTGGATTGAGCCAAAGAGGCAAAGAGGAAGCTTAGAAGCAGAACATGGAAAAATGTTCATGGAGCCCAGAAACTGGTATTCAGAGACAAACCTCCTGACACTGAAGGCAAGGGAGAACATTCGTTGACTAGTGAAGTATTATGCAGGAAAGTCTGTTACTCCTCCAATGGGCAACCACAGTAGACATGAAGTTAGCATACTTACTTCACAGTGAGAAGATGGACATGATGTGTAAGAAAGGTTTCTGGGGGCAATGCTGTTGCATTAAAACTTCATTCGTAAAAGCATTAAATTATTTAGATGTATACAGGGCTGGGGATATTCTTTCTATTACGAATTGTTTGCTGCGGGGGAGTTAGGCTACCTTCAAAATCTGCTGCCAGTCATGAAAATTAGGAGGGTGCTGTGGATTGATTGCTGGACCAGGAGTGGGAAAAATGCAAGGTTATATCCATACTCAACCGTAATCTTCACTTTATGACTTTGTGTGAGTTCTCATCTTATGACCTAACCTATCTCATAGGCCTTGGGGGATGTTAAAATTGAAGGCTGGAATACAGGTAGTCCTCAACTTACAACAGTTCGCTTAGTCACTGTTTGAAGTTTCAACGGCACTGAATAAAGTGACTTATGACAATTTTTCACACTTATGACCATTGCAGCACTCCCAGTCACACGATTTACATTTGGATGCTTGACACCTTACTCACATTTATGATGGTTACCGTGATCAGAAGGGGTCATGTGATCCCCTTCTGCAACCTTCTGATTAGCAAAGTCAAAGCCAGATTCACTTAAAACATATTACTAATTCAACAACTGCAGTGATTCACTTAACAAACGTGGCAAGAAAAGTCGTCAAATAGGGTAAAACCCTCTTAACAAATTTCCCCCTTAGCCACATAAATTTTGGGCTCAATTGTGGTCATAGATTGAGGACTACCTGTATTATATATGTTGACTTGAACTTCTATAGGAAAGGCAGAAAAAAAATAGTGAAATAATAATATATATACATAATCAGAGGATAGGAGTAAAACAGGAAAACGTTAAGCTGTATAACCTCTTAATTACATTACAAGAGGTAAGTTTTCACTTTCTTTTACTTCAAGTATATCCCAAATGTTATGTTCCTATAGTAATTTAATTCAAATAATGGGCCCAGGAATTCATTATGTTAGAAAAGAGATTTCACACTGTAGGAGTGTAACAACTGATTTCTCCCTGAGCAAATGATATACACAATATGACATACAGGAAGATTTGCTTAAAATGACCTCGCATTGCTCCAGGCTAATTTGGAAGTTTATTTCACAACTGGTTAAAAAAAGGGATATCAGGCAAAAATGTAACTAATTGCACAGGTTCAGATTGCAAAATCTTAACTACTGTAATGTCTTAATGTGCAATATGGTATTTTCTTCAATAGTAGTATATATACAATTAAATGTGACACTAGCTATAAAACTAGTTTGTTTCCTCAAACTATCCTAGCTGATTTTTGTGCAGTCACTGTGTTTTGTGCTCGTTGTGTATAGTTGATTTCTTTGGCTTGGTTTAATAGCTATTTGAATTTCTTCAATGTTTAGGGACACGCTAATAATGTTTTGCTCAAGGTTTATTTTGATTTACATTCCTACGTATATGTTTTGATTTACACTGGACATATGAATTTATAAACTTGTGTGCTGCCTGTATTTCTAGGTAGAATTTTGAAGCTCTGCAGTTTAACCATTGTTCCTTGAACAGTCTTGAAAAGGCAGCAGAGACAAGCTTAAATAAAATAAAATGCCATAATGAGCAGAATAAATAACAAAGCCTCAGTACAGAAAATGTAGATGGGAGGAATTTAATGCACCCCAGGTCTTTCTTACAAAAATATGGGATGGGAGGACAAAAGACTCACTCATACACAGTCAATTGCAGTAGTTTTGCTTCTGCCAAAGCAGAAATTGAAAAGCTTTGGCAGAAATTGACTAAGACTGATTCTGACAAATTCTCCTCCGGTGCCGATTTCGAATTAGCAGCATTTCAGATTGGGAGCACAAACGGCCTCAACCTACAATTCCCTAGCATCTTCTCATGTCAGCATCTAGAAGACTGGCTGGGTCAAGAGACCTCAGTGAAATGTGATACTGCCTATGGAACTACAATAACAGCATATTTATTTTTTAAAAATGAAACAAATATGCTTATAGCGTAACTCTTAAAACTATTATTTTTAAAAGAAACAGTTCCTGAGGATTTCTTGGGACCAGTTTTGTGGTTTTCTCACATGTGAAAATAGATTTGAGAGCATCTGAAAAATATATAATAAAATGTGAGAAGGCAGGGGTTGAACAAGAAATGGGACCCTGCTGTCTGCTGGGTAACAGTAAGAGAATAAACCACGAAGAGTTAAAAACTGCCAATTCTGGGGCGGGGGGACAATAAAGGAGAATATTTGTAGCTCAGGGTTGAAAAGAGGGGTCCGTGGTGCTCTCTGGGCTTGCTTGTTTTCTTGCCGACATTTCATTACCCAAACTAGGTATAACATCAGTGCAGCAACATCACTAACTGGTTTGGGTAATGAAATGTCCTCAAGAAAACAAGCAAGCTCAGAGAGCACCAAGGACCCTTCAATTTAGAAAAAAATAAGGTTTTTGTGGTAATTTAAAGGCAACAGAAATTAGATTATTGTAGTTGTTTTTAATTTGGTTTTTTTTTTTTGGTTTTTTTGTTTTTGGTAATTGCAGAGAACTCAAACCCATCCCTAATAGTGAGCAGCTGAAGCTGGATCATAAGCGATGCCAGCATATGTAAGAAACAAGTCAAGTCAAAACTTCTGAATCCTCAGTGATGAACTGAGTCAGCAATCAAGAGAATGTTATTCCCATCAAGTTCTATTAAGAGGAGTGGCAGATGCAAGGATAGCCACATCTTCCAACGCTGAAATTTCAAATCCCCCTCACACAACAGATGGGACGTCATCATGGGACACTTGAGAATGAACACACTGACTCTGGGTTGTTCTGTAAGAAAGCTACAAAACTACAAAGTCTTCCACGTTCACATCTGTCTTAAAATCTAAAGGTTTCCAAAAGGTTTGAAAAACAGAAGCAAATATGAAAGGAATGGTAATCTGATGAAACAGTCTAATGCAGATGGCAAAACATGGGCTCAGTTGCTGGTTTACCAGGCAATGCATGTGGGGGAATAAGGATTCTGTGAACTTGGCAATATGTTTGAAAAGTACCAAGAGAAGGAGGGAGAAAAAGAGTTCGAGCAGCGCTTATGAGAAGGAGCACTAATACCAGTGATTCTGATTTACATAGCAATAAGGGAACAGATAATTCACCCTATCGGTACAAGCAGTCCTCGACTTATAACCATTTGTTTAGTAACCAGTCAAAGTTGTGTAACACGCTGAAAAAGTGACTTATGACTGTTTTCACACATAGGACTACTGCAATATCCCCAGTCACGTGACCAAAATTCAGATGCTTGTCAACTGGCATATATTTATGACGGTTGCAGTGCCCCGAAGTCACGTGATCGCCTTTTGCGACCTACTGACAAGCAAAGTCAATGAGGAAAGCCAGATTCATTTAACAACTGCGTTATTAACAATTGCAGTGATTCACTTATCAACTGCAGCAAGAATGTTTATAAAGTGGGGCAAACCTCACTTAACAACTGTCTTGCTTAGCAATTGAAATTTTGGGCTTAGCTGTGGTCGTAAATCGAGGGCTACCTGTATCTAATAAACTCAGAAGGTTCTCTGAAACTGTCATCCATACGCCTCTTGTGTTAACTGTTCTTCTTCCAAGTAATTTTGAAGCACGTCTCCTAAGTTTTTGCAAGCAGAATTGCTTCCCCCACCTTCTAGCTCAGCTTACCTCAAACTGTAGTGGAGTATTGCAGCGACTAGCAGCCAAGGAGGGAATCGGGGAGAAGATCACACCGCAGCCACTGCGACTTTCCTCCTCTCCTGGCACAGATGAGGAGGACGTGGTGAGGTGTGGGCTCAGCGAATCTGGAACCAGGGAGTCAGGAAGCGGAGGAGTGACAGGAGACAGTGGCCGCAATAATTTAGTAACACTCTGCTCCATCAGATAGCGAGACTTCCACTTCTTCAGAGGGCTCAATACGTCTGTAATTTAACATACAATCTAGATGACGTTCTACTATTATAAAGCCCTCAATCGTGCTCAAAATTTAATCCCTCTATACATGTACCCCTGGCATTTTAAATTTGGTTCCTGCCACATTAACAATCACTCAAAGCTAATGCAAAAGTTGAAATGAGGGAAAATATTCAAAAAGAAGGACAATTTCAGGACTCAATGGATGTTTTCAGGAATGAAAAAAGTGCTCAACTGAAAGCAGTCAAATTCAGGCCCTTCAGTAGTTTAAAAAAAAAAGAAAAAAGCAAACAACTCCAAATTATTTGTTTTGTTAGACTAATACAGCAACAGGAAACTTGTCACAATACAGAGCTGTAGTCAAGACAGAAATACCACAAGTCTTTATAAAAACCAGGCTTGCCCTATTCCATACAAATTCACATTCATTTTCTTCACCTTCTGAAATGAAGCTCAGTTGATGGAAAACCTGTCATGGATGTGTACACCAAGGCTGAACAGGAACTAACCACCAACCAACACTATGCTTTTAGCAGCCTATTCATTTATTCATTTGGTTTATATCCTACTTTTCCATCTCCAGTTTTCCTCACAACCAACATCACATAAAGACAATGGACTGAAAGTGACGGACTGAGCCAAAGTCAGCCAGTGAGCTTCTGAGGATTCTAATATGGCTTAATAGCTAATCAATAAAGCGTGAGTTTCTTCCACGGCTGAGGGAATACTGGACCTTGGAATTCCCTGGTCCTAAACTAAAATCTTATCCACCATATCGCAATGGCTTTCCTGTACGTCCTCCATTACTCTTCTGCAGTTAAGTTCCTGGTACCGACAACCGGGCCTTATTTTTGTACTCTTTTCACCTTCCAATTAATTTGAATTCTCCTCAGCTTTTTTTGCCCTGTCATTCCCAACCCCAAACTCCACTCTTTCCTTATGAGGTCTTATTAATTTCATTATCTCCTATTCAAGCACTACTGCAGTAGTATCTTTGGGATAAGGGGAACCACTTCTTGACGACAAAAAGACTTAAAGATCCCCACATCCTTTTTCAATGGAGGCTGTTTTCCTTTGCACCCACATATCTAAACTTTCACAACAGACCAAACCCTTCAAATAACTCCATATACATCCAGAAACACTTTTGGGCTTGTTTTTCTACGCGCACAGCATTCTGTCCTTATATGATCTCTAAAGAAAATTGATAAAATCCATGCAATCAGCCCTGATTTCCATCGTTGGATCATTTAGAACACTTTGCCAGCTGTGCAGCAAGCTGTCTACAGGCTCCCGGGCTGCCAATGTGGGAATTCCAATTTCTCCATGTTGCAACGAGACTCGTTAACTCCCCACTGGCTGAAACATACAACGAAACTGGATTGTTCCATTGGCCATTACACCGCTCTCGGGTTTGTCTTTCTACTGGAAAAAAAAATGGTTCTCACCCTCCACAATTCAAACTCTAGCTGAACAGAGGCCCCTAGATACCTATGAATGGAAGGAAAGACGTTAACTGCTAAGACGTCTTCTGTGGAATAGCTCCCCAGCCAAGTCTCATTAGTTCCTATTCCACTAACTGCTGCAAGTACTTTGAGCTGTTCCTCTCTTGAGATGCTGCCTTTCAGTCTACAAACAATCTCCTCTAAACAATCGTTCACCCAGCTTCCTTTCATTCTTGGGTCACGAAATCTCCTCATGGTTACACATGGCTGCCCTTCCCAACTATGCACCACACACTGGAATATATAATATACATCTTGAGTTGGGACAAAAGACAAATATTTGTTGAGGTTTTTTTTTTTTTAATGCCACCAGACAACTGCAGTGGGTCTCTTAGAAACCACTCCAAATTCACACAAATCTTTTAGATCACGAGAAAACCTTCCAGTTTTCCTTTTGCTCTCACTCACTCAACATTGCAAATTTGCCCAGAACTAGTGCTTTGTCCACTTTAGATGGCTCTAACCTTTGTGCAACACACAGTTATCTGTACACTGCCTAGGGCCTCGTCTGACGTCCTTGGAAAACTGATCCCTGACTTGGGGGGTTCGCCACCCTCTTCCTCTGCAAAGACAGATGTAAAGTTACTATTTTTAAAACTCAGCTTTTTGCTTCGCTCACAGATGTAGCAAGGTAGCTGCTCTGCTGCAGAGTGGCTGCTCTGTAACCAGGTGCCCACTGGTTAACCAATTATCTCCCTAGAAAGCGTTAGGAGAAAAGTATTAAGCATAAAACTCTTGACTTTTCATGCAGTACACTTTCTGTATGAGTACCCATTTCTTGGTCTTGATGGAGAAGGGGGCCCTTTACTCAGGTGTGCACATTAAATTTGTTCATCTCACCCAAGGCAACCACCCAGCAAAAGGAAGAAAATGCCACCCATGCATCTTGCACAGGTTTCCTGTGTGTCTTTACGGCAGCAGCTTAACAGATGAACTAAGAAATGCAGAGCTGCCCAGGATCGTGTAGGGCAGGATTTAAGCAATTGGCTTTTAACACTCCTAACCTCTCGCTTGTTACAAAATCTGCATCAGTTAGGTGCACAGTGTGCAAAATTCATATTTCTTATCTATATTATTATTAACCTACAATTGTGGTAAATTCTTTTTTCTTTTTAAGTATATGGTGGTCATGCCTGAATAGCTGCAGAACTCTCTTTACAAAAGATTGCTTTAAAATAATAATAATAATGATAAAAAATCACTGTTCAGGACTTAACTCCCAAGAGTTTCCCTCCCCGTTAATGTTTCAGTAGTGAAAAGATATCTCAACCAACCTGTATTTTCTGTGCAAATGCCAGAAACGCTACTACTCTCGTTGCTTTGGTATAGACACTGGGTTTTACTCTCCTGGGAAGCAGGTGAGGTCTGAGTCATTCCTTCTTCCAGAGCCTGCTTCATCCAACGCTGTTAAAAAAAAGAACCTACTGAATGCATATTCTTTCTGGGTTCTTCAGAAATTTTCAACACATGGTTTTAATTCCACTGGTAGCATCCACTGCTATCTTATCCCAAAGATAAGTTAAACTTTTAAGCAACATCTCATTTTGTACAGCCTCTCTTTCTCTCTCCACATTTATGTACTTAAGAATTCGCATTTGACTTGGCAAATTCTGGACAAGAAATTAAAAATAACGAGGAAAGTAGCAATAGCTTTAGTGTAGGGGAATCCAACTACATGGAATGGAATATGGAAAAATAATCAGTGCAGACCTAGATCTACTGCTTCGAATATGAAGCAAGTGACATTTCATATTTATTAATGCTTTTCTAAAGTCTTAAGAACTAAACACATTTTTATAAGAGATTTATATCAATGCCAATATCAAAATTTGTGCTAGTGTGTTGCCAATATTGCCAAATTAATAGATCACTCCTATACTGAAACTCTCAAGGTTGTAAAACCAGAACCAAAACTTTCTTGTTTTAATGAAGCATGTAAAACTCTGTTTATTAATATTTTAAACCAGTCTTTCTCAACTAAGGGACCCATAAATACATTGGAATTTGGAGGGGAGACTGGAAAAGGCTACTTTAAGCTAAAACAGTAAATGACAAGAAAATTACTGGTTTATGCCCTAAATCAATGAGCTGTTTATTTAGGGACCAATTTTGTATGGAAATGTGAATTTAATTCAACAGATGCAACTCATCTTTTTATGTCAGATTTCAATACAAGCTAAGAGAGCTGCTTAAATCCACAACTGAGGCACAAAAGGTGAGAAGAGTGAAAGTATGTAAATCATGTTGGTTCATGTGATTTATGTGTATTCTTAAGTGTGATATGAGAGAGATTTTCTTTTTTAAAGTAAGTAAATGCTTAACATTTATCTTCAGAAAGTTTGAAAATCCATGGAAGGGAATATGCAACTACTCTGCACATAAAAAAAAATTGTTAAATAATAATTATGTTTAAAAATTGGTCTCAAATTTCATGGTATCTACAGTTAGGGTTTAAAGTTTAAAAACATCTGATTAGTTTTATGACCAGGAAACTGAAGGCTTTAAAATAGCATATAGAGGGTTCTGGAACTTATAAATAACATTCTACAGTTCCTGGACACCAAAGCTGCCAAAGCACATGGTTTCTCTATTATTGTAAGTTCCACAACATATACAAAAACTGCTTTAGGGGGTATAAGAAGTAATACTGACTCTTTCAGCTCCCAGAATTCCTCAGTCAGCACAGGAAATGCTAGCTGGGGAATGTTAGGAATTGAAGTCCACACTTTTTAAAACCGCCAAGGGTTGAGAAATATTGGCCTAGAAAGTAATCCAAAACATAAACCTGAATGTTATATGTTTTGAATGTTTGATTTAAAACTCAGTTATCTATTCGGTGAGAGATCATCGCTGCTACATTACAGAGTATTTTAGCATCTTATGAGGGATCTTATAAAGCAGCCGTCTCCAACCTTTCTGGCTCGGTGGACCAGCAGCAGTGGCAGGGAGGGGAGAAGGGATAGTTTCTTGTGTGTGTGTATCACTTTCACAAATGCAGTTTTGCACGCGCATATGCACGCACACTCACTCACCCACTTCTGTAGCCTGGTTCCGAGCTGGCTGTGGCCTGGCACTGGGCCGTGGACCGGGGGTTGGGGGTCCCTGTCATAAAGCTTTCCTCCTACTTTGTTCTGTGTGTGGAATGTGCCAAGGGATTAAAAGTGTCGACACAGTGGAAAATATACCTTTTTACAAGAACTGTAATTCCCATCCAGCTGAAGCGGCTGCCTTCGCCTTTCTGGGTTGAAGGGAGAGCCAAAACGGATATAATGTTTAGGGGTGGTACAAATGAGTGGGGAGTGAACAAGGCCTGGCAACATGTTCAGGGTGGTAGCCAGCACAGTTGGGTCAGTGGTGATACGTAAAGGGCACTCAATGGGGCACTCCTGCTTCTCTGCTTTGTCATTCAGCCACTCTGTAACCAGATACTAGAAACAGAAACAGACATATTTTACTATATAAAGTTAACAAGAATGTGCAAACATTAGTGAGATAACGAAGATAGGCAGAAATATCATAGTTTCAGGCAGAGGACTGGCACTGGCTTTTTAAAAAAAGTATTTATTTATTTTATTCATTAATTAAATTTATACACTGCCCATCTTATTCTGAAAATTACTCTGAGAGGCTTACAGTTATAATCATGAATATATAAAAATAAGCTGCAGATATTCAGTTTGGAACTTCGTCTAAATTGGTTTTATTACTACTTCCTCTACAGCCCCCTCAAAAGTCAATCTTTTACTAAAAATTCTGAAGTACAGGGAACTCTCAGAACCACAATGTTTTACTTCTTTCAGTCAAATCCCCATTTTAAAACAAAATCAACTCAATATCTTTAAAAAAATGATACCGATGTAATTAAATGCCAGATTGATTGATTAATGAATTTCAATGTAATTTAATTTTGTATTCAAATGTAATATTTACTAATGCAGCTGATTAATTATGGTAAAAGAATTCTAGTGGATTTAATTCAAAGTATAACATTTATGCAAAAAAGACTGCACATTCAAATAAACATGCCAGTTCCTAGGTCTTCCAGAAGCATTCCAGATTTCACACAATAAAGATAACCTGATACGTTTTTCTTCATATTGAATTTTATGTGTCTTACAGTATTTTTAATATCACTGTGTTTATGGTAGATTCTATAATCTTGGACATCACATGCATCATATTTAAAAAAGATAGTACACTAACTAAAATAGATATAAAGTGATGACTTCAAATCTGATTATAAAAGTATCATTTTTGATGTTTGAATAAAAAAAACATGTCATTTTTCCTTGGCTTCAATAAATCAAGTATAAGATTTCACTAGAGCGCTTGCTTCCCAATTCAATAATTCTGAGTTGGCATCACTTAAGACTATTCAGAGTCTTGGGTCAGCTTTTACAATTCATGCTTTATTTCAATCAACATTCCCTTTCATAATTCTGTGGGAAACTTTTGATTTCTGTGCTGCCGTGCCAAAAAAACAATCTTGTGGGGAAAAAAGTACACTAATGGCATCTTTTTTTACATTTTGCAAAGTCCAACTTTAATAACCTTATTATTATTATTTTTTTTGCACGTAGATTTGTTGCAAATGCTTTGGCTCACCAATACTCTCAGGTACAATCCATGCGTTAATTCAGGCATTTGGGTTTAGCTGAATGCTACTAACCTTTTGCTTTCTATTTTAGACTGCCAACTAGTTATGAAAATCAGTGGAGGAAGACTGCATCAAATCAAGAAATATTCAAATTTACATTTTGATGACTGTGCTTCCTCCCCCCCCACCCCCCTGCTCCAGTTAAGATTTAATAAACATTAGCCATAAAAACAAGCAAACAAACTAAAGCTACATGCCACGTTATAGGAGCTATATGAAGCAAAATTATCTTCTTGTCATTGCTAGGAAGGATGCCTTTACCCATCCTTTCCCACTCCCCATTTACCTTTTTCGTTTTAGGGTATTTGGGTGCTGCCCGGTTGGCCTGGGATCCTGTAGCAGCTGTCACAACTGGATCAGAGTTCACCACCTGTGGCCTCCCCTCTCCTGGGCCCTCTACCCTGCTCACTTCCGCTGCCACTGCTGTGCTGGTGCCACTTCCTTCCTCGGGAACAGTTTGAGAGAGTTCAGACTGCTGAGCACTGGCAGCTTGTTTTTGCCTTCTTAGTCTCTGTGCTGAACTGCTCCGATAACGCGAGAAACGGCTTTTGGGCCTGGGCCGTGGTGTTTTTGGTGGTGCCGGTTTAGGGACTGGTTTATCTGTATTTGTCTCCTGCAATGTAAACAACTTTTGAAGGCAAGGAATTCATAGTTTACTCTGTACTTTTTGGTACTCTGTACTCTGCAAGAGCTGGCTATACAGGTTTACAGTATGAAGGCAGTGTCTTGAACTTTAGGATCTAGCTTGGAAAAGACATTCTAGTTCCCCCTTTGAGGGACTAAAACACGGAAAGATGAATGTATTATATGTCCCAAGAAAGTATGCACAACTTTTGTTGACACTTTCTCAACCAAAATGCCCTGATTTCTAATCTTTGTAGACAGCAATTCCATTTCACAAACCTAGCATCTCCAAACCTAGCATTCATTTGGCAACGGTGAACTGTCTGTGCCAGCTCTGTCTGTCTGTCTGTCTCTGTCTGTGCCAGCTAAGGACTTGTAGCAAACTGCCTTGCTAATTCTAACAGGTTTACTTGAACAAGAAAACTCACAGGCAATATTTGATGGGAAGACAGGAGACAGACCAGCAACTGAATTATATTTTGCAAACAAGTGGCTGGATTTTTACTCTGTCAATGAAATCAACCCTCCAAATTCAGCAGTTTTCTAATCTGACCTTCAACAATTCTATTGTTCTTCTTACCCCAGCCTGTGAAGATCTCCGGGTGTTCACCCCAACGCTGCTGACACAGGTCGGAGCACTTGCCACCGGTACATTTAAAGCCAAACTGTTATCTTCATTTTCATTTGGCACAGGTTTTGCTTCTTCTGGTTCTGGGGTCTCTGCAGTAACCACTATCTCTGCATCTGTGCTGCTCCTGTCCGACGATGGCAGATCTCTCCTCCTCTTTCTCTTTTCCAGATTCTCAAAAACATGCATGATAGCTTCCACCTTTCTATCTTCTCGGGTCTAGCATACAAAACCAGAAATCAAAATTAATACAGCTCTGAGGGGAAGAAAGTGAGGATGGGGCATAACTCAAACCACAGATTATGGAGGGCACAGAGATAAACTGCAGAAACAACACCCTAATACCCAGACTTCCTGTTAGAACAGTGATGATGACAACAAAGATAGCAATAGCAATAGCACTTAGACTTATATACCGCTTCACAGTGCTTTACAGCCCTCTCTAAGTGGTTTACAGAGTCAGCCTATTGCCCCCAACAATCTGGGTCCTCATTTTACCCACCTCGGAAGAATGGAAGGCTGAGTCAACCTTGAGCCTGGTGAACTGCCAAACTGCTGGCAGCTGGCGATCAGCAGAAGTAGCCTGCAGTACTGCACTCTAACCATTGCGCCACCGCAGCTCTTATGAAGAGGATGCACAGAAGATATGCACTTCTGTGCATTTTAGTGTGCACTATTACCAAGTAATGGATTTAGCTTAGTTCACAGTTGTTCTGAGGGCAGGGAATACAGAACTGATATTGCTGATTTGAAACAATGCATTAAAACAGACACACACTTTGGTGTAAGTGGTTAAAAGTTAGGCTAGAATGGGGGTTCTAGGCCTCCCTTATCCACGCAAGTCAGCTGGGTGACTTTAGATCAGTCATTCTCTCTCAGTCCAACCCACTGCACAATGTTGTTATAGGGAAAACAGAAGCAGTAGGCATATTTGCCTTAAATTGACTGAAATATATAAAAGGCAGCAGTTATGGTTGGTCACAGTCAGTCAGATGTTTAGATTGGATTGGGCATTTTTATCCACCTATCCAGTTCTTCCCGAGGACCTGGGATAGGTAGTTGTTGTTTAATGGTATTAAAAGTATGTTGCAGGATAGTAAATTATTCCAAGGGAAGCTGCCTTTTGCCACTGACTGGTGATTTTGTAATACCGATGGTATTCTAGATGTTTTGGAATTACACCTAAAGCACTTATTACTATTGGTACTCTTTTTTTTCCCTTTTTCTCTCCTCCCTCCCTTCCTTTTTCACAGTAATTCTATTTCTATTTGTAGCTATTTGTATTTTATGATTTTTTTTCCAATTCTTTTTCTTCTCTTCTACTGCCTTCCTGTATTGTAATGGTTACTAGCCAGACTTTATTTTTGTCTTTCTTATCAACAACTAATCAAATACCCTGGGGTATTGTGTGGCAGATGCTTGCTTGTTTAAATTCTACTAATCCACATCTTAATTAACAGGCATGCCTGCAGTAAATACTGAAGAGACTTTTAAAAACTATCTTCTGGAGTTGATTTTTCCTACATGTTGTCCTATATATTGTCTAAGTAGAGGCATATAATTGATATGAGAAGCTATCTGCTCTTGACTGCATAGCTTCATAGTGAATATTCATATTCCCATAACCTTAACCTCTTTATATCATTTTGAGTAGACTGGGATCACTACCTCAGAACTTGTGCAACATATATGCAATTTCATGTAGTGGATTTGTTACACGGTTATTTATAATAGCACAGGCATAGGAGGAAAAAAAGGAATATATGGAGAAATGTAACTCAGCAACAACCTATCAGAAAATTCTAGGAAATACCTCTGCCCAATGGAAAAGACAATAGCCATCACAAAACACTAGAATGAATTAAATATTTAAGAAACACTTGCCCGTCTGCCCTGACCTCCCAGCTCATCAACAGCAGTTTCCTTCTCCTCTTCTGGCTTCTCTTCCTTATCTGCAGCCTAAAGAGAAAGAGAAGAAAACCTCAAAAGCAGTCACAACTGCGAGTAGATATGAGGAGGCAGATTGTTGGGGGCAATATGCTGACTCTGTAAACCATTTAGAGAGGGCTGTAAAGCAATGTGAAGCGGTATATAAAGTCTCAAGTGCTATTGCTATATGAGGATCATCACTGAGACCTTTCAGCTTTGTCCAGAAAAAAAAGACGATTAATTCTCTGATTAAGTTTACCTAGAATTAATGACCAATTCTCACTTATCCATAACGATGGGGACATTACCTCATTATCGCTCACTGCAGCGGGACCCTCAGAGACTTCCTCGGTTTGGGGATTGCTGTTCTCATCTGAGGCTGCACCCTGCTGCTCCAATTCCTTACGCCGGGCTTTCCGGCGTCTAGTTTCTGCTCCGATCAGAGTGTCCAGAATCGGTGGAGGTAGCTGTTCTACGGGGTTCAGGCTCCGCTTTTGCACAGGACAATTCCTGTTTCCTTTGTGGCAGGCACAATCCACTTTATAATTGCTGTTCCACCACAAAAGATAGAAAAGCGTTTTTAGTATCATTCTTCAAAACCTCAAGAAATTATGTTATTTATTTATTAAAATCTATATGCCGCCCATCTCACTATCGCACAACTCTGGGCAGCTTACGACAAGATAAATGCGACACTATGAAGCATTAAAACAATAAATATGAAGATTAAAATTATTTGGGCCAAATGTCTAGGAAAGAAGGGGTCCCCATCACATGATATGCTTCAGAATTTTTTTCTAAAAAAAAATACATAATAGGAAGTAAAAAGGAATATGGAGGGAAGGGTAATAACAAGGAAACACCACCAAGTCAACTTACCAGATATTGTATTCATAATCGAAGGCAATGGTGACCTCTGCATCTTTGGCAATGGAAGCGACCGCATATATGCACAGGTGAATCATCCCATCTGCAATCACATGACGAACCTGCAATATAAAAGCAGCACTGCTAACACACTACAGCCAGGCATTGGTCTTACTGCAAAGGTACAATTCTCACAATTGTAAAAACCAGCTCCTGCAGGGCTGGTTGCTCCTGAAAAGCAAGATTATCATCCACAAGAAAATGCACCTGAAACTGAAAAGGAGTGTTTTGCCATTCAATATGGAATTTTATTAATGAGAAATGCACAAGCACACACACACATCAAAATTTCACCTACTAATGATACCATAAAGTATTAGTCCTTTTTTCCCCCCCTGCTGCAGCACTCCCATGAAACAATTTTTTTCCCTATAGCTCTGGCATTATAAAATTCACAGGGCATAGTCTGAGTCCTCTGCACTTAATTGGCATGGGATTATCTCTGCTTGATTTGTAGAGCATAAACTCAAAATCACATTTGCCAAATACTAAAGGCCACATAAGCACCGCCGTTTACCTCTGCGTTTGGTGTACAGGAACGCCTGATGAATCTGGCATCATTTCCGAAAGTGCGGGCATCCACACACATCTCAACACTATTAAATTTGGAGTAAAATAGCACAAAGGGATACGGCCTGAGGAAGTAGAAGAAGAAAAAAAGAACAGCCTTTTAACCTCCTGGCAAACATCACAGAACCCGATGCAATCTTCACAGATGACCTGATGCACCCCTGCATGCATTTGTGCATGTGCGTCTGATCTTTTATTTAAGCATAAATTCCCTATAGGGAAAAAAATTGGCTCACATTATCTTCAACCAATTCAAAATCTCAGTGGGAGGGCATCGTGTTTGTTTTTCAAGAAACAGCAATTACAGAAAAAACTGTTCTCCCCTCCCCCCTCCCCAACTCCGCAACAGGCCTCTATTCCTCAACTATTTGGGGCTCTTACTTTTTGAAGAAATGACCATTGACCTCAAACTGCTGTCTTAGCATCACCTTCCCACGATATTCAATTATAAGGGTATCTGCAGCCAAATCTCTCGCGGCCCTCAAAAGCTTTCGGTGCTTCTGAACCCTCGTGACTCTCCCCAGCTGAAGCTGTAAGGTTGAAAATAAGAATAAAAGACCCAAATCCGTTAAAAAACAAAAACAAAAACAATCCTATTTCTGTATTTGAAAACAATCTTACCGAATGTGGAGAAGTAGGATAGGGATAAAATTATTGCTATAATTAATTATACCTCCCCCAGTTCTTTCAGGCAAGGAAAGTGCACATCTAAGTGCAGAAAGAGCATCTTGGCAATTGCCCCCCCCCCCAAGAATACCACTGACTTCTCTCTCACTACTTTTGGATAGACTTCTTACCTGCATTTGGGAGCCGATAACCGTGTTGTTACAGGCCAGTTCAGTCTTATTGATTGTGTCCAGCACAGCCGCCTTGCCCGCAAATTCTTTATTAGCATTTAGATGACGCTCTAGGAGATTTTGCACATCGGCGCTGTATTGGTTTGTGAAGGCTTCTTCATACTGATCGGTCCAAAGTCTAATGCGGTTTTCCCACCCCTCTGTGGTATTCTCATCCAGGGCGTGGGCTTCTGAAGGAGAATTCTGTATCAAACCACAGAGTCAGTTCAATGGCTGAATGGTTTGGGGCCCTATAAAAGTCACTTAGGACTTTTTGAAATGGCCCTTTGCTTAAAAAAATAAACAACTACTATAGAAACTATCTCCTCATTCTTAATTAGCCTTGATCAAGCACAATTTAAAGGCTCTCCTGAAAAACTGCTAGGAAATCAAGAACCGGAATAAAATGCTTGCAAACTCATTCCCAAATATGACGAAATATCCCCAGCCATCTTTACCAGTGCCTCATTCTTTCATATTCAGCAAGCAGGATACTATAGCCCTTGACAATGACTTACTAAATTAATATTACCCAATTCCATGTTGCAGAGGAGCTTTTAAAGTGATGATGCTATTCATAAATCAATGGCCAACATCTGTAGTATATTTGGAATCTGGTTGCAAAGGTGTTATCAGGGTTATACATGGATACTCACCTTCATCCGCAAAGATTTCCGTGAACCTTCTCTAAAAGCCTGTCAAGCACAACAAGAGAAATCACTATCAGTATTCATATCCTGGACATCTGAGCTTCTGTTCAATAAAAGGTTACATTTTCTTTAATATAAAGAGAGAGGGGCTGAGAAACTACAATGCATAAAACTGGAAAAGCCATCGACCTCAGTTTATTTTCATTATACTCCTCCCACAAAAAAATAATCTCTTCCAGGACTTCACCAACCTAGAAATATTGATGGCTCTCTTTTCATTTATGCTGATCTTCAAATATCTATCCTATTAAAAAATCAATTGGACAACAATTGTATGCAGAAAGAATAGTGTAGTTAGTCCTTGACTTATGACCACAATTAAACCCAAAATTTATGTTGCTAAGTGAGAAATGTGTTAAGAGAGCATTGCCCCATTTTACAACTTTTCTTGCTACATTTAAGTGAATCACTACTGTTGTTAAGTTAATAACTCGGTTGTTAAGTGAATCTGGCTTTCCCCATTGACTTTTCTTGTCAGAGGGTTCCAAAAGGGGATCACATAATTCCAGGACACTGCAACCGTCATAAATACGAACCCACTGTCAAACATCCAAATGTAAATCACATGGCCATAGGGATGCTGCAATGGTCCCAAGTGTGAAAAATTGTCATAACCTTTTTCAGTACCACTGTAACTTCGAATGGTCACTAAACGAACTGATGTAAATCCCGGACTACCCACATTTCACTCTATTATTCCTATGAAGCCTCCTTCAAGTCCTGCTATGCTACATCACTGTGGCCGTGGGATATTCTTAGGAGAAATGAGTGAAGAACACTAGAAGCAGATGCCAGTGGTATATATTCCCACCAAGGTCAACCAATGTGTGAGGTGAATTTTGTCCCATTTTACAACCTTTCTTGTCACGGTTGTGAATCACTGCAGTTGTTAAGTTAGTAACATGGTTGTTGAATGAATTTGGCTTCCCCGTCGACTTTGCTTGTAATAAGATTGCAAAAGGTGATCGGGGGGCACTGCAACTGTTATAAATGTGGGTCATTTACCAAGTGTCCAAATTTTGATCACATGACCATGGGGATGCTACAACGGTCATGTCAAAAACAGTCATAAGTCACTTTTTTCAATACCGTTGTAACTTTGAATGGTCACTAAATGAACTTTGTAAGTCGAGGTAGTATCTGTATTGGGCAAAAAGCTACAGAAAGATGCTGGAGGCAGATGATTATTTAAAGTGACAATGGCAAATACGTAATTTCTAACTGTTCAAAAGAAGGCAATGGTATACCACTCCTACGTTTTACAGGAAAGCCACATGAAGAGACAAGATAAAGTGATTGACAATATTGGGCTGGATGACTTTGGTTGTTGGCATTCAACATGCTACTGAGGAAGGGCTGAAAACCTTTTGGAATGCTAACCGTTTTTATGTCCTGGAAACATTCAAGTTTTTGAGACGTCTTGCTGTCAATGTTGCAAAGCAAAAAAACAAAAAACAAAGATCTGAAGACACAAAGACAGAATTACAGTGGGAAAACGAAGCAGAAAGAACATGAGAAAGCTCAACCCAATGATAGATTAAATGAATCAATTGCACATCCACATCTCAGGAACCACTGAATCGCAATGGACGGGAATTAAGACATTTTTCAGTCAGAAGATCACACTGCTTACTATACAGGACATGGAAACAAAGAAAACAAAATGGCACTGCTTTCATAGAAAGGATACAGCAAAGGCAGTATTTGGGTACAACAGAGTCAGTGACCATGTAATATAAATCAAAATTTGCAGACAACCCTGCAACATAATGAAGGTCCACGTTTATGCTCCATCCACTGTTGGAAGAAAAAGAGGAGGAGGAAGGTTGATTTTATGGCCGAGTTCAATCTGGTAAAAATCATGCAAACAAGATACGTTTCTTAAGGTTGGAGACTCAAATGCCAAAATTGGAAGTAGTAAGGAGGAAAAAATGCTGTTAGGAAACAGCAGGAAAACAGTTAGAAAAATGCTGGCTTAGGAAACAGAAGTTAAGCAGGAAAATGACTACCCAATGACTGTTTCTGTCAATCCAATGATCTGTTTTAAAACAATCAAACCCACAACTGTGTAAACTGAGATCACCAGATGGAATACACAGAAATGATGTTGACCATGTTATTGGTACAAAAAGAGGTGGAAGAAGAATTCTCACTTCTAATAGCAAAGATGTGGCCAGGAGATGACTGTGGAACAGACTGTAGGATTCCAAGCCAAGCTAGGGAAAAAGAACAAAGCCAACCAGTTTTCCACAATAGGATTTTGAGCACATACCCACCATTTTCAAGAAGAACATCAGGAATCACTCTGAAGTGCTGAATCTCATTGATAGGGAACCAGAGGAACTGTGGAATGAAATCAAAGAAGCTGTTAAGGATGAATGTGAAAAGAGACTGCCAAAGACCAAGAAACAGAAGAAAGCAAACTGGGTGTCAGAACAGACGGTGGAAACTGCCAAGAGAAGAGAAGCCAGAACGAACGAAGAAAGACAAAGATCTCAGGAAGAAATTTAACAAAGAATTTCAAGGGAGCTGTTAGAAGAAATAAAAAGCAGTATTATAATGGCGTCCGGAAATGTATTGAACATGGCAATAGGTATGGAAAAATAAGAAAAGCTTTCTAAAAGTTCTCCAAACTCAGAAAGACGTTTTAATGTAAAATTGGTATGTTAAAGGATACCAATAGGAACTGATTCTAAGAAAATAAAACAACGATGGATGGAATATATTGAAATTATATAGATATGTCCTCAATGATTTAGAAAATATTCCCTATTTACAAGAAGATCTAGTACTATTAGTCGAGAGAAGTACTCGAATTATAACCAGTCAGAAGGCTATAGAAATTGATGGAATGTTTACAAAAATTTGGCAAGCAACAGAAGAACTCGTAAAGGTTTTAACCAAATGATGCCAGCACGTCTGGAGAATCACACATTGGCTAGGAAATTGGATGAGGTTAGTCAACCAATACCAAAGAAAGGAAACTTAATTTAGTGTCCAAAGTATCATATATTTAATTTTATACGCTAGCGAAATAATACTTAGGATTAGCTAATGTAATTTAGAATCCTACAGAAAAAAAGAGATCCTAGATATTCAAACTGATTGTGACTATTATAGATAGGTCTTCATGAGCACGTGAAGTTGACAGGCATCCTATAGGCATTCTGATTTCATTGTCCTCATGAAAAAACCATACATAAGACAGGAAGTCACAGCTCATAACACGGCAAAACAGACTGGCTCCAAGTTAGTGAAGGAGTGAAATCACAGTGTAAGCTCTATTTGTGCAACTTATATGCTGAATATATATTGAAAGTAGCTGAAATTGGAAGATGAGCATGGTTTTAAAACTGGAAAAAGAAATACAACACCACGCACCATGCTGACAGCACTGTTCTGATAGCTGAAAATACAAATGAACTGCAAGCTCCAGTAATGAAAGTCAAGGAGCACAATGAAAAATGAAACTAAGAATAACTATAAAGAAAACTACTACTGATAACAGGCATAGCAATAGGAAAGTGAAACGGTGAATAACTCTCTTTTTTTAGGATTCACTATCAGCAATAAAGGAACCAACAGACAAGAAGTATGCTGCAGACTAGCAATTGGTATATTAACAATGAAGCCTTTGAAAAAGCTATTCAGATGCTGTGATATATCTATACCTACAAAGATCAGGATTGTGCTGCAGACAATGGTTTTTCCTCTGGCGCTCTATGGAAGCAAAGGTTAGATAGAAATGATAGAAAAATATCAATGCTTTGGAATTCAAAAAGAGAAAAACCAGCAGCAAGGTGGAGAAACTTGAGGACAACGGTGATTGAAGCATCTCTGGGAGACCCGAAGGGCCAGATTGGGAACAGATGATCCAGAAAGAGGTCCATCCATGTGGTTGCTAAGAATCAATCCCGACTTGACACACAAATTTGAATTAAATCAGATAACTCATTTGCAAAATGCAATAGCCGAACCAAAATATTTCATAGGATCTATAGCTTCTCCCAAATTAAACGAAAGCTAGTGCCTATGAACTGCTGCTTGATGTACTAAAAGTAAATTGTAGTAGTTAATACAGAGAACTAGTAACAATTTATTTACTTTGTAGCTACAATTCTAATAGGTACCAACATACAAAAGGCATCTCCAGAGTCACCTGCCTGTTGCAGTGACTCCCCCATTTTCTAAACTGAAAAAAAAAGTAGTTAGAATGTATTGTAAAGCAGCAGCTTTCAGAACATCCTCATGTCTAAGAATACCCGTGTTGAATCTAGAGTTATTTTCAGAAAATGGCTGTTTTCAGGTGGTCCGTGGTTGAACTGCAGTGATGGAGGGGAAGAACAGGAAACAAACCAAGGGCCTCTCAAGCCGCTGAGGAGAAAGAGGGAAGGGCAAGGCTGGTGTTTATCGCCCCTCTGTTCACTTAGCAGCAACCTAGCAGGGCACTCTTTTCTGATTGGCCAGCAGCCAGCCTGGTTTTCCATGTATCACATCCTTGGGGTTTTTTTCCTGTTCTCCACCCAGAATATGGGTTTTGGGTCTAGACAGTCATCAGAGCGCATAGTACATAATACCTGGACAGAATCAATTATTAACCAGTTTATAAGGTTAACTCTCCAAATGGCTCAGTGCTTTTAAGCACGAGTGCTTAAAATAAAAAAAATAATGGCATTTTGTTCTAATGACAAAGCATGATAATCACCCTGAAATAATACAATGGATAAGGATATTAAAAAAAAAAAACATTCCCTCTGGAAGAGTGTTTATTTCTTGCCACAAATTAGATAGGTCTGCATGGACACGTTAAAAACATTTGTCATGTAACTACAGAGCTGGTGCAAATGTAAGTCGCTCACCAGGCATCCCAAGATACTTCTTATTTTGTTTATTTCCAGACTTGAATAATTAAGCTTACAGAGATTAACTTCAAAATTTAAAATGCTTTCAACGATAGCAGTTGTTATTACAACTCATTTGTGCAAAGTCTCAGCAGCATTTCTATAACTTGTGCTCTAAGAATTTATCAATAATTAGCTTATAAGCAAGTTTAAAACCGCAAGGCTGAGACACTCATGACTTTACATTCTTCTGTGCTCCTGCTGTGAAAATGCCATATTAAATATACATATTTGCTTTCTAGCACCTACTGTGAATGGAAAGGACATATCAACGCAACACAACGTAATGCAACACAACCAACACTGAAGGGTCTTTTTTCCAATCTTCCAGTAAACTTTTCAATTTCCATCAAACATCACTTTTGCAAGCGATAAAGGCAATATTAAGAGACCCCTGAGGTCATTAAGTTTAACTCCCTGATTGGTGCAAGAATCCAAATTAATGCATATCCTAAAATTGGTTGTTCAGCCTCCATCTAATCTCTGCAAAACTACTTTTTCTTTCAAATTGCTGCTTTGTGGCACCTCTATTACTGCCCATAATTATTTCTGAGAGATGTTTAGAGACATTTAAATCATGTGTTAGGCCAGTTTAAGAGTGTGGTTTTGTGTTTTGTAACACAGGCCTCATTTTATGTCATTGCTGGGCAAACTACTTTTACTTCCAAGTTTACCATTCTGGGAAATGAGCATGTGACTGGCCGCACCCATCATGAAATAATGCTGTGATCCTGACAGTAATTTTATGAATGGGTAATTCCAACCATCCACTCGCCCACATAGCCACAACTTCCTCAGCATGTCCACAAAGTTGTATTTGAATTCCAAATCATTATTATTTATTAAATCTGTGTGCTGCCCATCATGCCATAAGGCAACTTGTGGCCCAAAAGAATAAACTTTCAAAATTTGTACCTGCTACATCAGCCATAGTATTCAGCCTTGGAAATTCAGATCAAAAGTCTGAAATTTTGAACTAAAGAATTTAATAGGGTGTAAACAGAGGGTGTAACTAGGGAACAAATTGAAATGAGACAAATCAACATTTTATTTAACCATATTCCATCGTGATACTGGTAACACATTAAAAAAATATGCAAAGTACTCAGCATTAAATCTCAATGCCTTTGACTGATTGACTAAAATCGTATTAGTCATTTGCCAAGTTATTATTTTTTAAAAAAATATATTAAATTATGCTTCTTTTTTATGAAGAAATTTTCCTTCTGGGCAAGCTATACCCCCTGCCCTCATTTACAGCTCTGCAAGAGGTCCCCGCCCCCAGCCAAAATGAAACACAGAGTGACTTTCTTGTACATTTGTTCTGTAATGTTTACTACTAGTCCACATGAGGAGAAAGTCTGCCCAACCTAAAAGCTAACGCCTGTGAATTTTTTCTTTCTCCTTAGTGGAAGGTTATGCGTTACTTGAGGAAGATGAATGGGGGAAAAAAATCTAAGCCAAACTCCCAGTCTCTTGCTTAGCAAAAGCCTTGAGACTCCAACAGCCATTTCTGTTCACATACCTTGATTTTTTTAGCTTTTGGTGCTGTACGAGCTCTCTCTGTATTCCTTTTTCTCTTTTTAGGTTTGGTTCTACAGACTCGATTGACTGTCAGAGTGATGCTCGTAGGAGTGTGTTGTGTAGCAGTATACAACACTGTGGAGGGAGAGAGCTCCTCATCCCAGCTCTCTGTTGCACTGCTATCTCCACCTACAAAGGAAAATATCACACTGACAACTTTCATAATTTGGAGAAATTGTCACACTGCTCTTCAGCTTGACTTTAAAGAAGAGATGCCACGCTGCACGCCTTTCATGATAACAACTTGCACTGTATTACTACAGGGAAGGAGACATAGTAATTACTTTCTACCAGGACAAATGCTGATTCATAAATCTCAGTGATCTGTTTGCAGTAAACAGACTGTACTTACCTGACACGTTGTCTTGTTTCCGGCGACGAAATCTGATTACTTTCCCCCTGCCAATTCCCCTACAAAAGAAAGACAGACATCTGATACTGGCACTGTCAATGGCAGCACTGCCTAAAATGAAAGTGGATTCCAGTGACTTGGATCTTCAGTGGAATGCCAGCTGACTTCATCTTGAAGAATTACATAAACCTTACACGCCTTGAATGGCTATTAGAACTTTATATATCAACATGCTAGGCCATTTCTTCAACCATTAATGCGTTATGGAACCAACGCACTTGCCATACTCCCAAAGAATGTTGTCTTCTGGTTCTAGAAAGAAGACATTCTTAAAGAGCTTAAAGAGTATGAAAACATGACACTTAAATATTCTGGGCTATGGATAATCTGAAGGGGTAAGAAAGACTCCAAAGTGTCCCTCTGAAACTGAGACTCCAATTTCATTTCTATATGAAAATCTCTGGTGATGCTAATCTCTTCTTCAACTATAACTCTAAATGTGATTAGAAAAATATATCTAACACCATAGTAAACTAGAATGTCTTTAACACCACAGAAATCCAAGAGAGATTGCTTTACCAATTATATCTGGCTGGCTGAAACAAGGAAGTATCTTTTGCAAATTTCACCTAATTAACTTGCGCTGTTTTGTCTCTGTGTTGTGGAATTCTGTTTTTCTTTTCTTTTTCTTTTTTTAACTTGCTGCCAATTAGTTCCTTTGCTCCATACCACAATAATGAATCACAGGCTGAGTCAATGGGAAATTAAGAGAATGGTCCACAAGATATAATCATGAAACCTCCTTCACATTTCTCATTGAGTTGGTTACCACACACCTAGAACTTACCTGCATTTTTCACACTTGATGAGGAAGCCATCTTGGGAGAGACTGCAGTGACACCAGCTAGGAATAGATTCTGCCTCTGAAGAGCTCTCTGTGTCACCAGAATTCTCCTCATCATGAGAGTGCAGGCCATTCAGTTCTGCACGTGGGATGATGGTCTGGACAGGGGGAGAAGCAGGAGGGGTCGGAGGAGGAGGAGCTCCATAATTATGATCCTAAAAACAAATGTTTGCATCAGTGCTGTTTTAAATTTCAGGGAAGGATAATAGTAAAAAGAAAAGGAACTGTTTACAAAATTCCACAAGCTTTACTAATGCATTGCAAAGCCTAAAGAAGCTCAGAGAGATTTGGAAGGTGATCAAAATATATGATAACAAGGATCATATACTTAATCTGGGATTCAATCTAAAACTAAGTGAATAATTGTTTCCTCTATTCAACCCAAGGAATTTCCTGAAAAATGAACACATTTTCTAAGCACTTAAGCAAAAGGGGGAGAAAAAAAAAGAAAACTGGACTTTGGGAAACTTCAAGATTGGTTAAAAATACACACAAACACACACATACACACGCACACACACAAAGCTAGCACATTAGGAAAGGAAAAAGCCCACAAATCAACTGAATCAGGATGGTATACAAGTAGGAGTACATATTAAGATGCAAGAATTTTGCACAATTGAACATAAGAAGCCTGCAAAGTCATACAAACCTCCTGATTCTGAAAATATTACGGTTTATGATACACATAAACATAAATATTTTCATTTAAAAAAATAAATAAAACAGCTCCTAGAAATTCCCCTATAGTTTTCTCTCAGTAAAACCACAAAAATGCCTCTTCGTCTAAGCCAGTTTGCAATAAGCTTTCCACAAATATATTTTTGGGGGAAAAAATCCAAAACTACACTGCAAATGCCCTCCAAAAAGATCTCTAGCTCAGTCATGTTGAAGCTGGGAGGGAAAGAAATGGGCTTGATAAAGTACGAATCTACTGCAGATAACAGAGAAGGTACTCACTGCATAAGGCAGCCCTCGGTAGCTGTGCCTCTGGGAGGCCCCGTAGCCGTGATTTGCATACACATTCTTCTCACTAACAGCTGGGCTAGCTTCGACAGACTCTGGGCTGCAAAAAGGGCCAACAGCAGAACCCATCAGTAGAGGAAGTGGGTCTTTTTCCCCATAATTAGCCAGATCTCAGAGCTCTCATGATGCTAAACCATCATCTAGCCAAGAATGGACACACCTTGGGAGAACAGGAGGGATAGAACCCATGAAAGCTATGGCATAAGGAAGGGAGAAAAGGCTCAGGACTGGCATATGGTTTCAAAGTTGGTATTCAGTAAGAAACAATGGGAGCAAAAAAGGTACTCATACCAATCTTTGAATTATTTGTTAGTTACTTATACATTGCATTGGAAGGTGGATTTTGAATTATTTATAACCTTTCTCATCTACTCGACTTATTTTGTAATCACAGCTCTGCATCCAGTCAGGTTACAAAGTTTATAAACCTCTGACTTAGCTGAATATTCCTTCCAGGCTGCAAAGTCTTCTTATTGCTTCTCCTTAATGCACATGCGTCTAGATACAGTGACAGAAATTTGAGTGAAGTTGACAAGGATAGACCCCTGAATATTTCATCTAGTAAAATCTGCAATGTGTGGAGTATCCAGCTTTCTCACACAATCATGTGAGGAACAGCATACCTATAATCTCTACCACTGGAGAGAAACAGCAGGTTTCTACCACAAGAGGGCAGAAAGAAGCAACTTAAAATGTACAAAACTAGCGGTTAGTGAAAAGCTATGGGAGTCCTTGTTGCAGAAAAGGAAGCAGGAAAAGCTTTAGATGAGGAAGCCAAAGCTGGAAGCTAGAAGGAGAAGCTGTTCTCTATGGAGGATGGGAAAGGAAGAGAGAGAGAGAGAAGACTAAGAAGAGGGAGAAGAGCCAATGCTGCAAGCACACATTGGGAGTGAAGTCCAGAAAACGTCCTTTCTGCAACCACAGTACGTTTTCAAAAGCTATTTCTATGAAGAAGAGAGCTATAATTATACCACAGTTGTTTACTTGCAATCCTGTCCCTCTGCAAAATCTCAGCATTATTTTTACCTGTAATCATTGCTTTAGTAAATCAAGGCAGATATGCCTTTAAAGCAATTGATAAATCCTATACAATGCTTTGTTCTGAGGCTCTCTGACGTACCTGACAGAAGGAACTTACCCAATTACAGGCTTTTATTTTACTGTTTTATCTATACTCATATTTCTAATGGCACGGGCATTAGGCTAGAATAATTAAAGTAACTTGTCCCGTTTTCCAAACCCTGTTTTTATTTGAGTGAAAATAATTAGTGGATCATGGCAAAATGAAGAACCATAGGCCGATGGACCTTATACCAACAAGGATATGAAGTTTAGTGCCAGAGAGTAAAAACAATGGTGACCACTATTTGTAGTTGTCATTGTTTTTACCTCCATATTCCCAAGGAAAAGGATAGGAGGTATAAATAGAGAACGGCTTTCTCAGGCCTCGTTATACCAGATGACAAGATGCAAAACCACTGCAACTGGCAGTTATCATGAAATGTGACCTCGTATGCTCTTGAGCAGCCCAGGAAAAACACAGCAAATAAAATGAATCGGTGTGCAAAAGCCCCCTATGACAACAACGACAACAACCAGTATTAAATCAACCTCTGACTGAGCTAAATCTAGCATCAATCAGTAATTGCCTCAGTCGGGGAGGGGGGGAGAGGGGGAGGGGGAGAGAGGTGGAGGGGAGAGAGAGAGAGAGGGAGAGAACATCCATCTCATTTTTGGCCCTCCTCTTTCCTATGGACACTTCATTTGGGTTCCTCCACCAGTGGCTACCAGAGGATGTTCTTGGCAAGCCACTTAGATAATCCTCCCAGAGGAAAAGAACGCTACACTAAAAAGATGAAAATCCACGTAACAGTTTGAGATAGGCAAACTTTAGATGCCTAAAAGATCCTCCTTACCCACATCATACAGCAGTTTGTATCAGCAGCACCCATGCAACAGGGTACTGCCAGGGCTCAGAGAATGATGAGAATTAATGAGAATTAAAGACCTTTGGGAAAGCAGTATTCTAGCAAAGTGCTTTTCCTTGAATGCAGTTTGGAGGATGGAGAACAGCTTCTCCTTGGTGTTTCATCTTGATCTAACTTGTATAGGATAAACCTGTAAACCGAGGCAGTATCTGTTGCAAAGCTAAATGCTTTCTATTATCCCAGGCTCACCAGAATAGCCAAGATCTGAACACCAAGTTCTGATTCCATACCCTCCACATTTTCAGACAAGGAAGCACTTACTCAGATCCAGCAGCCATATCTGAATAAGATGTATCTGGTGTAGTGACTCCCAGAGGGATTGCAATGCTCATGACGTTTGTCAGGGATCACGGAGTCCAAAGGGTAGTGACTGGCAGCTCCAAGGGCGGGGAGCAGCCGCAAAGCCTCGGCCAACACGTCACGGACATGGGTAAACCTGCCAAAGGAAAAAAGAAACAATGCACTGCACTTGTGTTCTTCACAGCCACAGCCATAGGATTTATCCTGCAAATCATGCTGAAGTTGAGTGAAGAGTGAGAGTGAAACAGGAAGTAGTAATTTCAAATGAGGCATGTCGTCTCTTGCCTGACAATCACGCTTACATAATTTTCACTCTAATATGGCCACCAATTTCATACCCAGATTTTCAAAATGCCTCAGAAGAGAATGCTGAGCAGAATAAAAAGCTTGAAGGCCTATCTTGCAAATGTCAGCCGTATGAACAAAATTACAAACACGGGGTTGGAAGAGAAGGAAACACTCCCGAGGTGAAAATGACAACGGTATATATTTCCACAGCATAATTGTTAGGAAAAATGTAATTATTTCAATTGGAAAAATGCACAGAAACAGATATCAGGAAAGGAATTACGGTACCTTCCATTTTTCATGTATGCTGCTGAGAAAAGCAGCGACAAATACACAGCATTCAAATATGGCATGAAATTTAAGAGGCACATTTTACACCTAAGTATTTAAAAAGCCATGTGGGCAGAAGCCCTGCAACAGGCCAATCGAGAAGAAAGAAGCATATGTACAAAAGAGGAACACAGTATGTTGCAAGTGGTAGTAAATGAATTCAATCTCTCTGCACCTGCCTCTAAAGAGCTGGGGTAGGGCTGGACAAGCAAAGGAGAGGTATCTTTTTCTACCTTTCAAGTGCAACTATAGCATGAACCCTGTTAGGAAGGACTAGCATGGCTATAGCAGATCTCTGAACGCTTGTGGGAATGATTCATTCCAGAATGGCAACAGGAATGCATGGATTAAAGCAGTTGCACTGGAGTCATTTGTTAATATTGCCGATTCGAAAATTACAATGGCTGCATTGCCCCAACTTGTTTTGTCAAGCTAATATTTTTTTTCTAAGATAATCGTGCAAATACTTAGTAATTTGTTCATAAGGCACAATTTCTACCCTTCCAAATAGCCTTTCAAGTATTTCCCTATCTCTACTATCTGCCAATACGCAAGGCTAACGTGTGATATGAGCAACAGAAATTGTATTTCTCTTCTGTCCTAGAATAGATGACAGCATTTCCTTCCAGCTCTGTTCAGCCATTTGCACAAGAAGTCGGGCTCTGAATTCTTTAATGATTCCTGAGATAAATGTTGAAAGCTGGAACTTCAAACACATCCCATTTCTCAGCAAGCAAGACACGTCAGACACAGTATCTCTTATCTGATAGGTCAGCCTAGAAAAGGCTGTTATTTGTTCTCTTCTCAGTGAGGGTGGAGACATAAGATCACATCAGCCTGCTAAGAGGGCTGGGAATTCCCTTCAGGACATTTCTGCACAGTTGAGAGCTATCTGCAGCCATAAAAGGAACACCCATGCTCAGGGGCTACATTAGATACTGTTCATATTTCTGAAAAGGAAGCATTTAAGTGGGGCATTAGAGGTGTATTTGTAAATATGTACACGTTTACATGAGAAAAGCAGGTAAGGGTGAAGATTCTTTCTGAAAGCTCTCTGTACATCACTAAAATTGTAAACGTGAACTATACTAGTACTCAGAGAATAATGCTACCTCATGTGTGTGAAAACCCTAATTAAACATTTCCTTCAAGATTTGGCAAACAGCCCAAATATGGTGTTCTCAAAAGGTATCTTTGCAGTCCTACAGAGAATTGGCTACTACCCGATACAAAGGCCTGCTGTTATCATCCAGAAATTATCAACTAAATTCATGAAAGGAAAGAAGGACATCAAGTTCACACTTCGGAAACAAATGAAATGTATACTATTGTATCATAGGGACTTTTGAAAGAAATGAGAGTTGAATCAATCTACATCCCTGGTCAATCTGGAATTCCAATAATCTACTATTAAACCCATCATCAAAAATAACATGAACTCTGCATGAAGGAAGGCTCAGACAATACAAATGACACAAAGGATAAAGGAGAGAAAAACAAAAGAGGTCTTGGTAAGTAAATATCAACAGCATTTTCTGGCTCTTGTAGATAGAATGCTGCAGAAGATATCTTTGAAATATTCAGTATTAGACTGACTGGCATAGCCCAACTGGAAATTAGCAGAAAGCTTTACCTACACTGCAAAATCAAATTATACAATAGCATGGATAGCAGTTTAAGCCAGGCTGGGGATGTATAGGCAATTGATTTGTATAGAAAAAGGTAGCATTAATATGTTCTGAACAGAAATGGCCTATATAAACGGACTTTCCATTAACCAGGTAAACAAATATCAAACCTAAAGCTGCCACAGTGTTCAAGATGTAAAACCAACAGAATAGCATGATCTTTGTTTCAACCTTTATTCTCCATTGGGGGGCAAGGCGAAGAGCTGGCTGAAGTGTTTTGTGTATAAAAACAATAAGACAATGAAGCTGGGTGCCCCTTTGCCTAGAATAGTCTGAGTTCAAACCAAAAGAGCTGCTCTGTGGGGGATTAATCCCTTTTGCAGAATCCCACAAGCTGTATCTCTGAATTCTCAAAAAGAAGGGGGCTGGACTTTTAGCACAGATTGAGCCCCAGACAGGACAACAGAAGGATGCCCAGTCATTAGTATTCTCTCGTGCCTACATAATACATTAAGCACAAAGCACTACGTTCCTTAGAAATGTTTAATGTCCAACAAAGGGTGATAACATCCATCTTAAAAAAAAAAAAAAAAAAAAGACCGAAAAGGGCATATTTCCTTTAAAAACTCTAGGCTGCCAATCACAAGGCCCAGAATTGGAAATGGATCCTGATGTATTTTCTCCTGATCAACAACAAAATGACTTGGGAAAAGAAAAAAAATGTTGATCTATGTACAATTTCCAACACCGATCTCATTTCATCACTTGCCATTATCTGCAAAAGTCCTGTAATGCAGAGGGCTTGGCAACTAACATAATTTGATGTAGAGAGAAATCTTAAAGTCTACGTGAAGCATGAATCATCATAAAGACACAGGTCTTACCACATGGCAATTTACTTTCTCATGAAAGGAAGAACTGAGTCCATCCAAAAGATGTTGTCATGAAAAGCCACTGGGTGATATGTCATGTATTTTTTGAATATTTTTGTGCTGAGTTTGTGATTTCAAAGATGTGTATAAGCTTTCTTGGCAATAATATGGAAGTGATTTATCTACTTCTGAGCGTTTTTTCAACTTCCCAATTCCGCAGGCAGGCTTGGGATTTCTTGGATGTTCCCATTCCCTTCTTAGGTTTTTAAGGCTAATTAATATTAGTTGGTAGATTAAGCCCATTAAGTTATCGAACATGAATTAATGAAACGCAAATGTGTAATACATTCAAAAGAAACTCTTCCTTGACATTTTTTCAGCTAATATCCAAGTATTCAATGCTATCGTGTAAAATAACTGATTACTTATTTTATTTTTCAAGTGTTATGCATCTTTCTGCAGTAAAATTAAACCAAGGCAGTTTACAAAATCACAGAATTATTTGGAAATATTTAGAAGTCAAAAAGCCATCATCCTAATTTCCACATCATGTTCAACATCTGGAGAACTTTTTTTAAAAAAAATATAACATTCAGATGCCTCATATTGGCATACTTACTAGATCTAGGCCACTTCCACTAACAATATTTGAGGCTGGTAGACACATCTGGAAAATATTAAGCTGAAGATGCAATTTTTTATTCTATAACCCACAAAAACTCCCACTAGTACATTTTAGGGATGAACTGGGCCTCTCAGACTATTATTACTTTGTGCTTATTCAGTTGATGAAATACTATCATAAAACCAAGTTTCATTGTAGTTAATTCATCTTTAGTGTTTTTTAAGCAGATATTATTCCTATTTTGGGCATTTGGTTAGCTAATAGTAGTTGTGGCCGAATCAACTAATGGTTCAAATCCATTTTTATAATCAACTGAAAGAATTGATAAAGATGATATAATTTTTTCATGCTATTCTAAATTATCATATATTCAAAGAAATTTGGGGAAGATTATGACAGTGAGAGAATGGTAGCCACAAGTCATACACTACCTCTTTCACAGCTTGAACCAGACTTTATTATCTACCCTTTTCTTTTTTCCCCCTTAAAATTATGATGTCACTCTTCAAAATCCTTCAAGTAAACAATTTCTAGTTTTTGTCTCTAAATCTTATGCAAGGATTTTTCCCTATCCATGCCTCAGCATGCTTCCTGTTTTCGTGTCCTTACTTTCACTCAGAATTTCTTGTATGCACTGTGCAAATGAATATTTTTTTTCTCTATTTTCTCCTCGTCTAGATATTCCCTTTGCTAATTACACAGCATTTCTCTTCTTCATACATCTTTATAAGAATACCATGATATATTTTCACCCCCAAACTGAACATTTGGTCCATGGGAATTTTGTTGATGTGGCATAAAGTAAAAACTAAATGGGAGAAAGCCTTGATATAAATGTCATACAACCAGAAGTGGTTTATACATTCATAATTTGTGCAGAAATTGGAGGCCTAGTTCAATATCAACAAATAACTAAAAAGTCTAAAATATTATAGAGTATTTAAATACTAAAGCAGTAAAACTAATCAGAAAAATGATGTAGCATTGGAAGAGAATTTAAATCTGTGGTGTTTCTCACTTTAAAACTAAAGACTGGAATTTAATTTCTTTTCCTCATACAATTTGATCCTAATTTATATTACGGATGTCAAATCTTTTAATATATTGCAGAGCGACAGCTGCCATCATCTTGGATTAATAAACTGGACTTCATAGGGATTGGAATCCAAAACATCTGCAGGTTCATTTGTAACCTACCCCTAAAACACATTGTGAAGAACTATGGATATTTTTTACACCTACTTAGCATAATCAATGCAAATTATCTGCTTACTTTTTCAATTCTCTTACAGTTTGATTTTTTTTAAAAAAAAACCTAGCACTTGGGAGCCTTATGATTTTAAATGTATGATCCAATAGAAACAATTATCTTTTTAGATGGGAGAAATCTGAT